TGGCCGGAATTCGGGGCGTTCCTGCATCTGGTCATTTCTGCATCAGCAGGATCCCCTCTTTAGACTTGTATTGGACCGTTTTTAAAACTGCAGTATGTAACTTTTTGGGCAACCCGACCAAATTCACATAGAAATATGAGTTATAGATCAGTCATTCTCATTGAAAGCAAGTCGAAGAAGCAGTAGATATGTTCTATGTGCTATATTTATATATATTTATATACAGGGTACCCCCCTGTATATAGCCTCCCTACTGTTATTTTATTTTACTTCTGCTCTTTTTTTCTCAACACTTTTTAGTTGTTGTTGTTTTATTTTACTTTTTTATTAAGAAATAAATGCATTGTTGGTTAAGGGCTGTAAGTAAGCATTTCACGGTAATGTCTACACCTGTTGTATTCGGGCATGTGGCAAATAACATTTGATTTGATTTGATTTGATTGAAGTGATAATGCCAGAGAAGCCGATGTTTGGACGATATATTGGCACAGGTGTTGTTAGGCCCGAGACTTGCCAATATATTATCCAAACACCGGCTTCGAGGGCATTATCACTTCTATACAAGGGGTTACCAACATATTCAAATAATGATTGACATATTTTCATTAAAAACGTTATTTTGATCAAATTATTCATACTATTTCATCCTTCCACAAGATATAGTCCCGACACAAATCTGGGCTTGCTAAAGACACGACCCAGTTGTTCAGTCTTTTTGTTCTGTATCTATAGACGCGACCCAGTCGTTCAGTCTTTTTGTTCTGTATCTATAGACGCGACCCAGTCGTTCAGTCTTTTTGTTCTGTATCTATATACGCGACCCAGTCGTTCAGTCTTTTTGTTCTGTATCTATAGAAGCGACCCAGTCGTTCAGTCTTTTTGTTCTGTATCTATGGACGCGACCCAGTCGTTCAGTCTTTTTGTTCTGTATCTATAGACGCGACCCAGTCGTTCAGTCTTTTTGTTCTGTATCTATATACGCGACCCAGTCGTTCAGTCTTTTTGTTCTGTATCTATAGAAGCGACCCAGTCGTTCAGTCTTTTTGTTCTGTATCTATAGACGCGACCCAGTCGTTCAGTCTTTTTGTTCTGTATCTATAGACGCGACCCAGTCGTTCAGTCTTTTTGTTCTGTATCTATAGACGCGACCCAGTCGTTCAGTCTTTTTGTTCTGTATCTATAGACGCGACCCAGTCGTTCAGTCTTTTTGTTCTGTATCTATAGACGCGACCCAGTCGTTCAGTCTTTTTGTTCTGTATCTATAGACGCGACCCAGTCGTTCCTTCTAAGTGTTCCATTGCCATACTGGCTGGCAACGTTCTTATCCCTTGCTTGATAGCTAGCCAACTACGGCTGATTTACAGTCATGTCAAAAAGTGCAGCCAGAATAACAACAAAGTAGCTGCATTTGCATTTGTTTAAGCTGTTTTCTAGTGACATTTATTTGGATACATCCATAACAATGAGCTAATGAGGCGAGATTTCGCCTGGCATAGAAAATGTGCTCACCCGTCAGGACACTGTTGTTCAGAGGAGCTAGCCAACAACACAGCTACAGTAACACAATCACTTCAACCTGAAGCTGGAAAACTGCAAATTAGCAACGTTTCGTTTGACCTTTTTTCAACTGACCTTTTTTTTTGTATACTGTTAGAAATTGCGTAATTCAAATCTGGTATTGGAATAAGAGAAAACATAATCAAGAGATATTCAATCCAAGCTAATTTTATTATATGCAAAATGTATGTATGATAAGTATGTTGGTTCGTATACGGGCTCACTGAAATACCACGCAGGGCAGACAGAGAACTAATCCATTGTTACAGGTTCTTCTTCAAATACTCTGACAGAGATAGTTCCCACTCTCTGCTGGCCAATCAGAGTAGAGACTGAGCGTGGTTTAGACTTACTCAGCCTATCCGTTGGCGCACGGGCTGGTCCCAACCCCTTGGCGCATCCCTGTTGCCAGGCATAAGTTGCTATCATAATAACCTGTGGAGTTAGCACCCAAAAGACACCATTCCACTGTACTACGTTCAAGGACGGTTCACAGACAACAAAGAGGCAGTGTTCGTATCTGTGAGAAATACAAGTCTTATCTATAAGAAATACAAGTTTTATCTCATCCTAGCCCCTAACGTTCCTCACATGAATCACAGCCTGTTATGTGAAACAATTTATATCAGTATAGTACAAACCTATGCTTATCATTAATGCATTCCTTCTAAGCTATTCATCACATACAGATCAAATTATGAGAAAACAAATCCCAACAATACTGTATATCCATAAAAATGATGCCAGCTGATTCATGATTTCGACTGGCTGAGAAAAGCTGCCTGCCTGTCTGTCTGTCTCATCCCGGCTCCTGACACATTCATTACTATGGGACAGCAGGAGATCGAATTTGAATATTGAAACAATGTTGCAAGTGTCTGAGACAGATAGCAAGGTGTATACAAATCTCCGCTGTTGAAAACGAAATGTTAGTCTAAAAGAAATGTGAGATAATGTCTAGATGCTTTTTATAGTGGAGATCAAGTTTATAAATTGCCTGGCTGGGCTGATGAGACAGTGGATTGTGTAGTCAGATGGAACAGAGTAAATTGGCATTTTAAAGTCATAGATTTAGCCAGTGGAAATTTGTGGTATAGACACCGGCTGGAATGCGGTTTTAACCAATCAGCATTCAGGATTAGACCCACCCGTTGTATGGGGAATAGTTACATGGGAGAAGAATGAGCCAATTGGAAGCTGGGGATGATTAGGTGGCCATGATGGTATGAGGGCCAGATTAGGAATTTAGCAGGACACCGGGGTTAACATCCCTACAATAAGTGCCATGGGATCTTTAGTGACCACAGATAGTCAAGATACCCACTTAACGTCCCATCCGAAAGACAGCACCCTACACAGTGCTTCTACATCTGCATTGCTTGCTGTTTGGGATTTTAGGTTGGGTTTCTGTATAGCACTTTGTGACATCTGCTGATGTAAAAAGGGCTTTATGAATCAAATTTGATTGATTGATTGAATGTCCCCAATCACTGCCCTGGGATATTTCTTTATTTTTAGATCAGAGGAAAGAGTGCCTCCTATTGGCCTACCCACACCACTTCCACTTCCCATCCAGGGACCAACCAGGACCAACCCTGCTTAGCTTCAGAGTCAAGCCAGCAGTGGTATGCAGGATGGTATGATGCTGGCTTCCTGTTGTTAAGTTTTGTTTTTACATCTTTTACTTTTGTTTTTTTACACCAGGTGGCCCACATTTTAATTGCATATACAATAGTGATGTGCAGTTCGCGAACGATTTGTTCTTTTTGAACAGCTCTTTTTACTGACTCGAGAGTCATGATTAATTTTTTTCAGAGTGACTCATTCATTTTTGTAATTCATTTGACCTGCTGGACGCAATGAATTCTACAACAGGAGTAAAATACACACTCCTCCGGCTCAGCGACGCCGGAGAAGTGCTCCGACCAGCAACTGTCTATCATGTGCGCGAGGGAAAATAGATCATGCTGCAGGCAGCATAGAGGAGAAAATGTTTAGAACTGATAATTGATGGCATTGTGCAAGAATGAATGCAATTAATTGATTATTGAATGTTTTGATTGACACAGATTTGTAGAATCAAAACAAACCCAGCCTCTGCTCAACAAACTCGAACTCGAGAACGAATCATTTGGGGGTTGCAGTTCTCGAATGATAGGCTATTGTTTGTGTATAACACTCACAGCAGTCAACCAATGCATTCCTCCAAGTGTCACAATCTAGTCCGGTTGCGGCCACCACAAATAGAACTTGTTTCAACTATATCAAAAAATAATCTTATTTGTATGCCTAGCAATCAACAAATGTACATTGTTTAAAGCACACTTTTACAAGTCTGTCACAGATGACCGCTCCAATAAGCCCCCTATGGTGAAGGTCATGTGAACGAGAGGCTTGTAGAATTATGACTCTTTAGAGTTTTCAGTTCATCGTTCTCCGGTAGGGGTCCTGTGCCTGTGTGCTCTGGGCATTACTGACTCAAATGAACGAAATGAGTCGAACGATTCGTTCTTTTGACTGAACGACTCAAAAAGATCAGAGTCAGTAAAAATAGCCAAACTTCCCATCACTAATATATATGGGGGGGGGGGGGGGGGGTTCATGCAGGAACCAATGGGTAGCTTCAAGGGGTGGCGTTCATGCAGGAACCAATGGGATGCTTCAAGGGGTGGCGTTCATGCAGGAACCAATGGGTAGCTTCAAGGGGTGGCGTTCATGCAGGAACCAATGGGTAGCTTCAAGGGGTGGCGTTCATGCAGGAACCAATGGGATGCTTCAAGGGGTGGCGTTCATGCAGGAACCAATGGGATGCTCGAGGGGGAATGCCCACATGCAGGAACACCCCAAATTGCATGCTGCAATCACACACAATTGGACGCTACGCCTGCTGCTACGTTAGGTCAGGGAGAAACTGGGCAGGGTAGGAGATTTGACGGCTGACAACATCGGTTTGACAGCTAGCTAGCTACCCTTGCTAGTGGAAAGTGATCATTTACTCACCATCACAAAAATAAAGCATGAATGGACCATTGCTATATAATTTTAACCATGTGAATCCAAAATAGCGACAATGACCTATTTAATTTCTGTAGCACCGGTAGATAAGCTTGACACACTGTCCTTATTCCGGATATATACGTGTGCTTCTTAATTCAGTTCACCTGAAACTAAGGTCTGTTGATGACTTGGGTGAACTTGGATCGCCAGACAGCAGACAGTAGCAGGTGTGTGTCTGTGTGTTTGAATGACTTGAAACTCAGGCCTCTTATTCATTCAAGATTCCAAGTAACCAGACTGCCACCGGCTTGTATGGTTGGATCTGAAACAAGAAAGTGTTGAAAGGTCAGATTTTAATTCTGTTTAGCACTTCTGTTGTTGTTAACATGTGGAACATTTGTGTTCTAGTGAGTGGACGTGATAGGTAGAGTTTCTGACATTTATGAATGGACGGTAGCACCTCTAACTCATATGGCCACAACAGATTATTTGAAGTCTGTATCCCCGCTTTGCTCTTCTCTCACTCCATCCTTTCTCCCTCCTTTCGCCCTCCCTCTCAAGGACCTTGGAGGTCTCCCCAGCGCCCAGCCTTCATCATGAGGATGATGATGTCCTTCCTGGTTGGACTTCTGGTCCATGTAGTTTTCTTCATCTCTATGTTTGACATCTACTTCACGTCGCCCCTGGTCCACGGCATGGCCCCCCAGGCCCCCCCCCCCCCAGGTGTCCCCCCCAGGTGTCCCCCCTGCCTCCTGCATGGTGCTGGTGGTTACAGGGCAGACAGCCTCTATTAGCCTGATGGCAATGGATCCACCAGGGCTCCTTTCTTAAGGTGACTGAGCTCTCCTTCAGATGAACTCGCTGTGTGGAAGTGTGTGTGTGTGTATGGTTTGTGGGATGGGGGTGGCCAGGTAGTGTGTGTGGTGAGTGTGTTAGAGAGAGAGAAAGAAAGAGAGAAATAAATAATATATGTTTGCTTGTGTGTATGCATTATTTCTCAAAAAGTGTGTGTGTTCAATCAGGCGTGTGATAGAGGAGAGGGGAAGTTGTGGTGTGTCACACTTGCGTTCCCACGGAGTCTCGGCCCGGCCACGTTGCTCTGATCGCTGGGTTCTATGAAGATATCAGCGCTGTCGCTAAAGGTCTGTGTGTGTACAGTGAGATGGTATGGGGTTGGTTTGTGTGGGACTGTCAGTGACTTACTGTTTAAAAAAAAACTAATGCTGAGTTTATCATCTTTCTCTGTGTGTGTGTGTGTGTGTGTATGTGTGTGTGTGTGTGTGTGTGCGTAGGCTGGAAGGAGAACCCAGTGATGCATGTTTATCAATAATTAGAAGAAGCAATTTCATAAGTGCAGCTTCTGGATGCACCTTATTAATCACATCAGACCAACACATTTTAAACATCATCCACATAATAGTCACATCAAAATCTTTTGTATGATCTCATATACATTATTTTAGGCCCAGCTTTTGGAAGATTCCTGGATATAGCCACTATATTGTGATCACTGCATCCAATGGGTACGGATACAGCTTTGATACATGTGGATGATCTTGTTCCTGTGGTGTTTATAAACATCCTGGTAGGTTGATTAATAACCTGAACCAGATTACAGGCACAGCTTGATGAAAACCAGGCAATATCCAGGTCCCCAAGAAATTAGACCTCTCTGTTTACATCACATACACTATCAAGCATTTCACACATATGATTTAGATACTGACTGTTAGCACTTGGTGGCCTATAGCAACACCCCAAAATAAAAGGCTTTAGATGTGCCAGATGAACCTGCAACCACAACACTTCAATAACACTTCACATAAGATCTTCTCTACATATTACAGGGATATGGCTCTGAATATATACAGCAACACCTCCCCCATAACCATTCCTGTCTCTTCTGTAGATGTTATATCCTTGTATTGCTACTGCTGTATCATCAAATGAATTATCTAAGTGGGTCTCAGAAATGGCTAATATATTAATGTTATCTGATGTTAGCAAGTTATTGATTTCATTAACCTTATTTCTAAGGCTACATATATTAATATGGGCTATTTTCAGCTCTTTCCAGGGTAGCTTCTCAGAGATAGACATAATATGGAAAAGAACAAACAAAGCAAGATAAAAATATATACATTCAGCAGTCCTTTAATCAATTGGTGTGTGTGTGTGCTGCGGGGTTGAAGCTACAAACCCATAGGCTTGGCTCTCTCATCCGTTCCAGGCTTTTGGGAGGGAAGGTGGACAATGAGCCTGTCATAGCGGATGTAAGCAATGTCCCCATGCGCTCTGGCAGTTCTATATCGTGGAGCTCCGCCCCATAGGGGAGCTCTGCTCCTATTGGTTTACCCTCTGCCCTAAGGCAGCATCAGCCTGAGACAAAATTATGCACTTATAATTATGCCTTATAATGAGCACACCTGGAGATTTTCCACCCCCAAAAGCTATTTTCAGAGCTCAATGCCGATGCTCCTCCATGGCGGCTGTAGACTCCCACGACATGTGTTTCGTGTGTTTGGGTTCTCAGCATGCCAAAGAGGGCATCAGCAATCCCCCTAACTGTGCCTCCTGCGCCCTCCTTTCTGTAAAGGAGAGGAAGCAGCGTTGGCCGTTTTTCAGGGAGGATATTCCTCTAGAGGACGTGCTGTCGGTGTTAGCCTCTGCTTCAGAGGCGTCATCGGACTGCGCCGACTCAGGAGATGATGGGGATTATGAGGAAGAGACGGGTGTTCCGATGGAACAATCCGACCCCCTGTCTCATACGTTCAAGCCCCCCTTTCCCTTGGAGAGTGAGAGGGCTTGCAGTTCCCTTGGCGATGACGACACAGGCTCTGAGAGGTCAGAAACCTTGTCTTTCGCTGCAGCCTCTCTGAGGTCGGACTTTCCCGGACTCATTGAGAGGGCTGCCAGACGTCTGGAGATAGCGCTGCCCCCTATTCCCTCCGCACCGGAGGTGGATTTAATGGAGGGCGGCCCCTATTCCCGGCCAAGGAGAGCGGCAGAGCCACTGGCTCCAGCAATGCCCTCATTGGCTAAGTACGTCGAGGGCTCATGGGAGGCACCTCTAGCGGCGCGTTCGCCGGCTAGATCGTACCTCCCAGTCACTAGAGTGGAGGGAAGATACCAGGGCCTTTCAAAGGGAATCCCCAGGTTAGAGAGCGCCATGGCTGCGTACCTCGTACCGGATTCGAGTCCCTGGCCCTCTTCCAAGAAGGCCACCTTGCCATCGCAAAAGGACCGTTTCACAGCGCAGCTGTTAGAAAAGTCCTTTACTTTGGGAGCCCAAGCTGTAGCAGCAGCTAATAACATTGCCCTCTTGGCAGCCGCTCCAGAAGTTGCAGAAGGGTTATGCCATCCAATTCCATCGGACCCCACCCCCATTCAGGGAAGTGGTGGAGATGGTGATGAAAACGCCCGAAAAAGTGGCCGCTCTGGTTTCAGAGATTACGGAACTTTTGGCGAAGGAGGCGGTCACAGTAGTTCCCCAGGAGCAAAGGAACAGAGGGCTGTATTCGCCCTACTTCCTGGTGCCCAAAAAGACGGGGGGAATGAGGCCGATATTGGATTTACACATTCTCAACGAGAGCGTAACCAAACGGCCCTTCCGAATGCTCACGACAAAACGTCTACTGGAATGTGTCCAGAAAGGAGACTTTTGTACAAGCATACACCTAAAGGACGCGTACTTTCATGTGCCAGTGCAGCCACGTCACAGGAAGTTTCTGCGATTCGCCTTTCAAGGGGTGGCGTACGAATACACAAGGATGCCATTCGGGTACGCCCTGGCACCTCGCACGTTTTCCAAGTGTGTGGAGGCGGCATTGGAACTGTTGCGTCGTCAGGGAATAAGGCTACTAGCCTACCTAGACGACCTACTGGTTCTCGCCCCGTCAGCAGAGCTGGCATTCACTCACACGACACAGACAGTGATTCATCTCACACGTCTGGGGTTCGCTGTGAATTGGAAAAAGAGCGCCCCCTGGCCCAGTCATCAGAATGTCTACCTGGGATTGCAGCTAGACACTGTAAAGATGAGGGCTCGAATTTCGGACCCTCGAAGGGTAGCCTTGTTGCTAGCCCTGAGGAAGTGTCGTCCGAATCACACGGTAACGGCGCTGTCGGTCATGTCACTTTTGGGTCTCATGTCGTCAGCCCATTCCGTGGTTCCGCTGGGACTCCTGCGCATGCGCAGGATGCAGCGATGGTTCGCCCAACTAGGACTAGACCCAGTGCGTCAACGTCATCGGTTGGTGGTGGTTCCCCTCTCGCTCAGTGCAGATCTGAACTATTGGAGAAACCTGCGCGTTCTCACGCACGGAGTCCCGATAGGCAAAGTGTCCTCCTACATTCCAGTGTTTACAGATGCCTCTCTGACTGGATGGGGAGGGACATGTCAGACCCAAGCGATAGGAGGTGTGTGGCCTCTTTCGAGTCGCCACATCAACCTCTTGGAGTTGGAAACGGTTCGACTGGTTCTGACCCACTTCGCATCTACCCTTCAGGGGTCGCGATGTGTTGGTCTGGTCAGACAACCGGACCACAGTAGCTCACATAAATCGCCAGGGAGGAGTCAGGTCTCCTGCTCTCCACTGGGCGGCAGAGGAATTGTGGCTGTGGGCTCACGAGCACCTTCGCTCATTGAGAGCAGCACACATTCCGGGCTACTTTGAACGTAGGAGCAGACCTCATGTCGCGAGGGGTTCCTCGAGACGACGAGTGGTTTCTGCATCCGGACATTGTTCTCAAAATTTTTGCGCACCACCCGTGGTCGAGAGTTGTCCCTCCGCTGTCCTGCATTCTCCCACTGTTAGCCAGGGTGAGATCAGGAGGGCTGTCAATAATATTGATAGCCCCCGATCGCCCAGGGGCTCCATGGTTTGCGGAGATGAGTCAGATGTTGATTGCGCCACCTTGGCCAATTCCACATCGACGGGACACATTGTCTCAGGTGGGGGGTTCGATAGGGCAATTGCCCATAATCTGCCAACCACTGAAGGCTTGGCTCCTGAGAGGGATAGGCTAGAGCGCCGTGGGTTATCTGATGCAGTGATCAGGACCATACAGGGTTCACGTGCCAGTTCCACTTCCAGGATGTATGCCAGTAGATGGAACGTCTTTTCACAGTGGTGTGTCACACAGGGTGTAGACCCCATGAGCTGTCAGGTTGAGAGTGTTCTCTCTTTCCTGCAGTTTATGTTTGATAAGCAGCGATCGCCCGCCACCATTAAGGTGTTTGCAGCGGCGATTTCAGCTTGTCACGAAGGGTTTGGCAGAGACAATGTCTTCAGCCACCCTCTAGTGAAACGTTTCTTATTGGGAACACGGCGGCTTAGGCCAATGCCTAGAGCCACGCTTCCTCAGTGGGATTTGGCTTTGGTACTCGAAGCGCTATGTAAGTCGCCGTTCGAGCCATTGAATCAAATACCCCTCAAGATGCTGTCTATGAAGATGGCACTGTTGCTCGCTTTGACTACTGCTAAGCGTGTCAGTGATTTGTGTGCTCTTTCGACGAGACCCGACTGCCTTGCCATTAATGGCGATCTGAGCAGAGCGGTGTTACGTCCTAACCTGGCATTTGTGCCGAAGGTTATTAAGAACTCATATAGGTCACAGACCGTGGAGCTATGGGCTTTTTCTCCCCCTCCTCATAAGGAGAGGAGTGAGGAAAGGCTCCATCGCCTGTGCCCAGTGCGCGCTTTGGCGTGTTACGTTGAGCGCACAGCAGCGATTAGGTCATTGCCTCAGTTGTTTGTGTGTCACGGTGCGGCTGCACTAGGTAGACCACTTTGAAAACAGCGTTTGTCTCATTGGCTTTGCGAAGGCATTGAGACAGCTTATGAGGCAGCGGGGCGACAATTGCCTCAGGGTATAAGAGCTCACTCCACGCGTGGAGTAGCGGCTTCTACTGCCCTTTTCAGAGGAACAGGGGTAGAGGATATATGTGCAGCGGCGTCATGGTCGTCACCGTCTCCATTTATCCGTTTCTATCTCTTGGATATGTCTTCTAACTCTTTGGCTCAGTCTGTACTCAGCGTGGCTGAGGGGAGGACTTGAGCTAGGAGAGAGGAATGCAGGACTGAGGAGACAGGTCTCTTTCAGGTCCGCTTCTGATGGAAGGACATATTTGTATGATGAGGGATGATAGTAGTAACCTTGGTTACGGTAATAATAATAATAATAATATGCCATTTAGCAGACGCTTTTATCCAAAGCGACTTACAGTCATGTGTGCATACATTTTTACGTATGGGTGGTTCCGGGGATCGAACCCACTATCTTGGCGTTACAAGCGCCATGCTCTACCAATTGAGCTACAGAGTACCACACGGTACTATTTGACCGGTCATGACAATTTTGACGGAATGTGACGTCATCTATCTGCTTGTTCAGATTAGTATGAGTCATGTTCTGGGATCTGCCCACTAATCTCTGGGGTTCCATTGATTGAGTGAGGCGGCCTACCGTGTACGCAATGTAGAGTGACACTTTGTGTCATTCCATTAGTGGTCGGTATGATTGTGACAGGATATTGAGGTACCATCTATCTGCTAGTACAGATTAGTATGGCCCGTATTCTGGTGATCTGCCCACTAGTCACGGGTGTTGCCATTGGACTAGGTGGGGCGGGTTTTTAACCGATGACGCAGTATATTGTGACACTTGTATTGTCATACAGTGGTTGCAGTACTGCGGGAATTGGTTGCATCCATTGCTAGGCCTGACCTTTTCGTTTCGATGGGAAGTGTTGGGCTCGGCAGGGAGTACATTTTGGAGCGCTACGCTCCGCCTTAAACCAATAGGAGCAGAGCTCCCCCATGGGGCGGAGCTCCACGATATAGAACGATTAGTTACCGGAGTGTAACTCCAGTTCTATGAGTGGAGCAGAGCCCCATAGGACTTAAGGCCCTGCCGACCCTCTCTAGTCTCGCTGAAGATAAATATCTCGGGAGGCTGATTGAGGGGAGGCATCCCCTCTTATAGGGACACCTGTACTCCTATTGGCTGCAGGTGTGTGCATAATTTTGTCTCAGGCTGATGCTGCCTTAGGGCAGAGGGTGAACCAATAGGAGCAGAGCTCCCCTATGGGGCTCCGCTCCACTCATAGAACTGGAGTTACACTCCGGTAACTATCGTTTTCATGGCTGGGATAAGTTCTTTCCTCTTCTGGCGCACAGCTTCAGGAAAGTCCTCGTTGAGGAAGATATACGTTCCTCTCAAGCTCTTGGCTCTTTAATCAGGTGGTGTGTGTAACTGTGTGTGTGTGTGCTGCGGGGTTGAAGATACGAACCCATTGACTCGCTCATCCCTTGCAGGCTTTTGGGAGGGAGGGTGGACAATGAGCCTGTCATAGCAATGTAAGCAATGTCCCCACGCGCTCTGGCAGCTTTCATGCCTGGGATATGTACTTTTCCTCTTCTTGGGCACAGGGATGATCAGTCGTTCTACCTGTATAACACTGTCATAATGCTGACATGATGTTGATGTCTCTATTGGTGTCTCTGTGTCAGAGTGGCCTCCTCACCAATGTATCCTCACAGCATCTGGCCCTGACTGATGACGTCACAACCACGTATTTCCTCTGTGTGTTGAAAATAGTCAGAAAGCAACAGTGATCTGTTCCCCAGTATGAGGCTAGATGTGTGTTACAGGCAGACATAGCACCTCTGATGTCATCTCTTATTGGAGTACCTCCATCTCAACTCTGTGGTGAGTCACCCACATCCCATAACAGTATCTTTGTAATACCATAATCAACAGAAACATATGATCAGAAATGCTGTTATACAGTAACTACTATCTGTACTGTGGTTACTGCTCTGAGATGCAAAATAAAATGTATGTGCAGACGATAAGGTATAATCTCATGTAATAAACTCAGCAAAAAAGAAACTTCCCTTTTTCAGGACCCTGTCTTTCAAAGATTATTTGTAAAAATCCAAATAACTTCACAGATCTTCATTGTAAAGGGTTTAAACACTGTTTCCCATGCTTGTTCAATGAACCATAAACAATTAATGAACATGCACCTGTGGAACGGTCGTTAAGACACTAACAGCTTACAGACGGTAGGCAATTAAGGTCACAGTTATGAAAAATTAGGACACTAAACAGGCCTTTCTACTGACTCTGAAAAACACCAAAAGAAATATGCCCAGGGTCCCTGCTCATCTGCGTGAACGTGCCTTAGGCATGCTGCAAGGAGGCATGAGGACTGCAGATGTGGCCAGGGCAATAAATGGTAATGTCCGTACTGTGAGACACCTAAGACAGCGCTACAGGGAGACAGGACGGACAGCTGATCGTCCTCGCAGTGGCAGACGACGTGTAACAACACCTGCACAGGATTGGTACATCCGAACATCACACCTGCGGGACAGGTACAGGATGGCAACAACAACTGCCCGAGTTACACCAGGAACGCACAATCCCTCCATCAGTGCTCAGACTGTCCGCAATAGACTGAGAGAGGCTGGACTGAGGGCTTGTAGGCCTGTTGTAAGGCATGTCCTCACCAGACATCACCAGCAACAACGTCGTCTATGGGCACAAACCCACCGTCGCTGGACCAGACAGGACTGGCAAAAAGTGCTCTTCACTGACGAGTCACAGTTTTGTCTCAACAGGGGTGATGGTCGGATTCGCATTAGTCGTCGAAGGAATGAGCGTTACACCGAGGCCTGTACTCTGGAGCGGGATCGATTTGGAGGTGGAGGGTCCGTCATGGTCTGGGGCGTTGTGTCACAGCATCATCGGACTGAGCTTGTTGTCATTGCAGGCAATCTCAACGCTGTGCGTTACAGGGAAGACATCCTCCTCCATCATGTGGTACCCTTCCTGCAGGCTCATCCTGACATGACCCTCCAGCATGACAATGCCACCAGCCATCCTGCTCGTTCTGTGCGTGATTTCCTGCAAGACAGGAATGTCAGTGTACTGCCATGGCCAGTGAAGAGCCCGGATCTCAATCCCATTGAGCACGTCTGGGACCTGTTGGATCGGAGGGTGAGGGCTAGGGCCATTCCCCCCAGAAATGTCCGGGAACTTGCAGGTCCCTTGGTTGAAGAGTGGGGTAACATCTCGCAGCAAGAACTGGCAAATCTGGTGCAGTCCATGAGGAGGAGATGCACTGCAGTACTTAATGCAGCTGGTGGCCACACCAGATACTGACTGTTACTTTTGAATTTGACCCCCTATTTGTTCAGGGACACATTATTCAATTTCTGTTAGTCACATGTCTGTGGAACTTGTTCAGTTTATGTCTCAGTTGTTGAATCTTGTTATGTTCATACAAATATATGTTAAGTTTGCTGAAAATAAACACAGTTGACAGTGAGAGGACGTATCTTTTTTTGCTGAGTTTATAACCTCTCAATAGGGGCAGTGTGTGTGATGTAGGGAATTGGAGTATTGCTCTAACTTGGCAGAGAACCACCTGTTTTGAACCCCACCTGTTTAGCTAAAAAAATATATATATATATATTATATTTATTTTGTTGCCTGTTTTGCATGTTATTTTGGCATTAATTCATGTCACGTACAGTTGAAGTCGGAAGTTTACATACACTTAGGTTGGAGTAATTAAAACTCGTTTTTCAACCACTCCACAAATTTCTTGTTAACAAACTATAGTTCTGGCAAGTCGGTTAGGACATCTACTTTGTGCATGACACAAGTAATTTTTCCAACAATTGTTTACACAATTCCAGTGGCTCAGAAGTTTACATACACTAAGTTGACTGTGCCTTTAAACAGCTTGGAAAATTCCAGAAAATGATGTCATGGCTTTAGAAGCTTCTGATAGGCTAATTTACATAATTTGAGTCAATTGGAGGTGTACCTGTGGATGTATTTCAAGGCCTACCTTCAAACTCAGTCCCTCTTTGCTTGACGTCATGGGGAAATCTAAAGAAATCAGCCAAGACCTCCAAAAAATAATTGTAGACCTCCACAAGTCTGGTTCATCCTTGGGAGCAATTTCCAAACGCCTGAAGGTACCACGTTCATCTGTACAAACAATAGTACGCAAGTATAAACCCCATGGGACCACGCAGCCGTCATACCGCTCAGGAAGGAGACACGTTCTGTCTCCTAGAGATTAATGTACTTTGGTGAGAAAAGTGCAAATCAATCCCAGAACAACAGCAAAGGACCTTATGAAGATGCTGGAGGAAGCAGGTACAAAAGTATCTATATCCACAGTAAAACAAGTCCTATATCGACATAACCTGAAAGGCCGCTCAGCAAGGAAGAAGCCACTGCTCCAAAACCGCCATAAAAAAGCCAGACAACGGTTTGCAACTGCACATGGGCACAAAGATTGTACTTTTTGGAGAAATGTCCTCTGGTCTGATGAAACAAAAATAGAACTGTTTGGCCATAATGACCATCGTTATGTTTGGAGGAAAAAGGGGGTTGCTTGCAAGCCAAAGAACACCATCCCAACCGTGAAGCACGGGGGTGGCAGCATCATGCTGTGGGGGTGCTTTGCTGCAGGAGGGACTGGTGCACTTCACAAAATAGATGGCATCACGAGGATGGAAAATTATGTGGATATATTGAAGCAACATCTCAAGACATCAGTCAGGAAGTTAAAGCTTGGTCACAAATGGGTCTTTCAAATGGACAATGACCACAAGCATACGTCCAAAGTTGCGGCAAAATGGCTTAAGGACAACAAAGTCAAGGTATTGGAGTGGCCATCACAAAGCCCTGACCTCAATCCTATAGAGCATTTGTGGGCAGAACTGAAAAAGCTTGTGCGAGCAAGGAGGCCTACAAACCTGACTCAGTTACACCAGCTCTGTCAGGAGGAATGGGCCAAAATTCACCCAACTTATTGTGGGAAGCTTGTGGAAGGCTAGCCGAAACGTTTGACCCAAGTTAAACAATTTAAAGGCAATGCTACCAAATACTAATTGAGTGTATGTAAACTTCTGACCCACTGGGAATGTGATGAAAGAAATACAAGCTGAAATAAATAATTCTCTCTACTATTATTCTGACATTTCACATTCTTAAAATAAAGTGGTGATCCTAACTGACCTAAGACAGGGCATTTTTACTAGGATTAAATGGCAGGAATTGTGAAAAACAGAGTTTAAATGTATTTGGCTAAGGTGTATGTAAACTTCCGACTTCAACTGTATCAGTTTGCAAACAATGTAATTTTTTAAATAATTGAGTTAATAAAGTTGTATACAAACATGGTCTCTTTTTTGCTTTCTTGAGTCAGGTAGCTCCAAAATGCAGGTGTTTCAGCCTAGCTTAGTGCTTTCTGTGGTGGTGGGGCAGCCAGCGGAAAATATGGAGCGTAGGGGTTGGTAATGTTCTCTAGTTGTGCCGTGATTGGCTCAGTGTTCTGTCACTCATGGGGACACTGTGTAGCAGCAAAATCTACGGGGAGAGCTCGGAATTCAAGCCCCTTAGGTGCTGCCATAGAGTTACATTAGAAGTGCCCATCCAAGAAGGCTCAAGGTTATTGGCCACAGATTAAATTAACACAAATCACGTTATATCTACCGTAGCTTTGATTGGGCTGTCAACATGTCATCATGTCAACATCATACTTTCCAAAATTAGCTTGCAAGCTAGACAAGCAGTCATCATCATGAATCAAGTCGACAATCTACTGGCAAATCCTTTTCAATACTGGCTAGCAAGCTAGACAACCAGTCATCATCATGAATCAAGTCGACAATCTACTGGCAAATCCGGTGCTCATCGGCCATTGGACATAAACATCACACAACAAGTTGGAAATCGCAAATTCAACAATGAGTGGTTTGGAAGGAATCCGTGGCTAACTGCAAGTGTTGCCAAGCAATCACTAGCCTGCTATTCAGTGGAGTGGGTGTGTGGTCCAAGTCTGGGTTTAAGGGTCTCTTTTCCAAGCTTAAAAATATAAACATTCACATGCAACACAATGGGCCAGAAAAGGTTGACTACATTGACCACGCTGTCAATCCAGCAAAGTGTTTATTTTGATGATATCAACCTTACAAATGTGTGTGTGTTTCAGGTTTGGAACCCTAATAGACCTGGTTCAGTTCGTACAGTTCCCTCCCACTGTGTAAATGCTTTGGCTACTTTGTCCTGGTCACATTTGGGATTTAACTTCTGGTTAGCAGCCATCATACAGCAACCATTTCACTGAGGGCTCAATTCAATGGAATCTGCATTTCTGCTGGAGCTCTTGTAAAGATCTGCTCCTGTGTCTGTCTCCCCCAGGTGGTGAGTTTCTTCCATTGGGCCATGCTGACTGTAAGCCTGTGGGTTCTCTCTGTCTGGCCCCTCCTCTCTGGCCTCTACAGAAAGGCCAAAGTAAGACTAGGAGTGGCTTGTTGTTCTTAGCTAGTCCCGTATTTAGCCCCTCTTCTTTGGCCTTTACAGCAAGTTCAAGGTAAAACTAGAAGTGGGTTGTAGTTCTTAACCCCTTCCCCTTTGATGTGCACAAATCTGAAAAGACTGGATAAGTGCAAGCAATATGGCAGGAGTACGAAGCACTACTGTAAAATATAAATGTTTAATTTCTCTCTATCTCTATCTATCAATTCAATTTCAATTCAATTTCAATTTCAATTTAAGGGCTTTATTGGCATGGGAAACGCATGTTAACATTGCCAAAGCAAGTGAAGTAGATAGTAAACAAAAGTGAAATCAACAATAAATATTAACAGTAAACATTACACTCAGAAGTTTCAAAAGAATAAAGACATTTCAAATGTCATATTATGTATATATACAGTGTTGTAACAATGTGCAAATAGTTAATGTACAAATGGGAAAATAAATAAACATAAATATGGGTTGTATTTACAATGGTGTTTGTTCTTCACTGGTTGCCCTTTTCTTGTGGCAACAGGTCACAAATCTTGCAGCTGTGATGGCACACTGTGGTTTTTCACCCAGTAGATAAGGGAGTTTATCAAAATTGGGTTTGTTTTCGAATTCTTTGTGGATCGCTGTAATCTGAGGGAAATATGTGTCTCTAATATGGTCATACATTTGGCAGGAGGTTAGGAAGTGCAGCTCAGTTTCCACCTCATTTTGTGGGCAGTGTGCACATAGCCTGTCTTCTCTTGAGAGCCAGGTCTGCCTACGGCGGCCTTTCTCAATAGCAAGGCTATGCTCACTGAGTCTGTACATAGTCAAAGCTTTCCTTAAGTTTGGGTCAGTCACAGTGGTCAGGTATTCTGCCACTGTGTACTCTCTGTTTAGGTCCAAATAGCATTCTAGTTTGCTCTGTTTTTTTGTTTGTTCTTTCCAATGTGTCAAGTAATTCTCTTTTTGTTTTCTCATGATTTGGTTGGGTCTAATTGTGTTGTTGTTGTTGTTGTTGTTGTTGTTGTTGTTGTCCTGGGGCTGTGTGGGGTCTGTTTGTGTTTGTGAACAGAGCCCCTGGACAAGCTTACTTAGGGGACTCTTCTCCAAGTTAATCTCTCTGTAGGTGAACTATCTCTCTCTCTCTCTCTCCTCTCTCTCTCTCTCTCTCTCTCTCTCTCTCCTCTCTCCTCTCCTCCTCTCTCTCTCTCTCTCTCTCTCTCTCTCTCTCTCTCTCTCTCTCTCCTCTCTCCTCTCTCTCTCTCTCTCAGCCACCTTCCTAGTATTGAGTACTGGGTAAGAGATAGTCACCCCTGACAGCCACCTTCCTAGTATTGAGTACTGGGTAAGAGATAGTCATCCCTCACAGCCACTTTCCTAGTACTGAGTACTGGGTAAGAGATAGTCACCCCTGACAGCCACCTTCCTAGTATTGAGTACTGGGTAAGAGATAGTCATCCCTGACAGCCACCTTCCTAGTATTGAGTACTGGGTAAGAGATAGTCATCCCTGACAGCCACCTTCCTAGTATTGAGTACTGGGTAAGAGATAGTCATCCCTCACAGCCACCTTCCTAGTACTGAGTACTGTACTGGTTCTGACCTTTCTGCCTGTCCTGACCCTGAGCCTGCCTGCCGTCCTGGACCTGCCTGACTCTGACCTGGATTACGAACCTCTGCCTGCCGTCTCTCTCTCCATCCCTCTCTCCTCTTCTCTATTTATCCAGCATTTCTTCTTCCTAGTATGGGATTATGGGTGCTGGCTGGACATTGGCACCAGGTAGGACCCAGGAGAGAGACCAGGGGTTGGAACACAAATGATTTTTCAATGGTGTAGTTCTGAAAAGAAGCACTCTTTTTTTCGTTCCATACCACTGTTCTGACCAGCAAAATAAAGTTCTGTACCGGGTCGAACCCACAAAAAGTACTGGTTTATATTGTTCCTTTCTGTTCCTTTTTTAATCAGTAAAATCAACCAGTTTTTTACATTTAGCTCATTCAATTACTTCACCAATCAGTGTGGATAGAGCAGGCAAGCTAGTTGTTTACATGCGTGATGGACAGACAAGTGTACCCTATGGCGCAAGATGCGACTGACATTTTGCGGGTTGGGAAGAAAGCGAGAGAGGGTTGAGGAGGAGGCTTGAAGCTCTGGGCATCTTGTTATGACATACATTATCTGAATTAGGTCCACATAATTATACCTTGGAGGAGTGGCTTCTATGGAGGAACTTTGAATGTCCTTTGAGCTAGCTAGCTAACAAGCTTGAGCTATCCTGAACAAAAATATAAACGCAACATGTAAAGTGTTGGTCACATGCTTCATGACCTGAAATAAAAGATCCCAGAAATTTTCCAGAAGCACAAAAAGCTTATTTCTGTCAAATTCTGTGCACAAATTTGTTTACATCCCTGTTAGTGAGCATTTTTCCTTTGCCAAGATAATCCATCCACCTGACAGGAGTGGCATATCAAGAAGCTAATTAAACAGCATGATCATTACACAAGTGCACCTTGTGCTGGGAACAATAAAATGACACTCTAAAATGTGCAGTTTGGCATTAATTCCAACTGGCCTCACAACCACCACATGTTACCACGCCAGCCTAGGACCTCCACATCCGGTTTCTTCAACTGTGGGTTTGCACAACCAAAGAATTTCTGCATAAACTGTCAGAAACCATCTCAGGGAAGCTCATCTTTCAGTTCAGTTTCTGTTCCCTGAACCGGTTCAGAGGAGGCTGGTGGGGGATATATATAGGAGGATGGGCTCATTGTAGCAAATGGAAATGTGTCTGATACGTCTCCATTCATTCCACTGCATGCTGTAGTACTTCTGGCCACACACACACACACACCCACACACACACCCACACACACACACACACACACACAAACACACACACATACACCCTTACCCTGTGTATCTCTCTGTGTCCAGTATCAGACACTATGTGATTGTGATGTCCATGACCATCTTCCTGATGCTGCTGAGTCTGATAACCCACTTCCTCACCCTGTGTGTTAGTCTGTCTCTCTGTGTGTGTGTTAGTCTCTCTCTCTCTCTCTCTCTCTCTCTCTCTCTCTCTCTCTCTCTCTCTCTCTCTCTCTCTCTCTCTCTCTGTCCTCTCTCTCTCTCTCTCTCTCTCTCTCTCTGTCTCTCTCTCTCTCTCTCTCTCTCTCTCTCTCTCTCTCTCTCTCTCTCTCTCTCTCTCTCTCTCTCTCTCTCTCTCTCTCTCTCTCTCTCTCTCTCTCTCTCTCTCTCTCTCTCTCTCTCTCCCTCTGTGTGTGTGTGTTTGAAATTTTATGATGCCTATTTATTGAGGATTAGATGTACCTGAAGGGCACAATTGCCTCATGTATTGCAAAGCAGTTATGATTGTGTTATTATTTTGATATGGGCTAAAATGTAATTAATTGAATGTTTGTCCAAGATGCCGTGGACTGACTTTTCATTTGCACTGGACTTGTATTACTATAGAGGTCTACATTAAAACTTTCTTATTAAGGTTACATATAAGACAAAGTATACTTGAATATTTGACTGTCGGTGAATGATATTGTCAATACTATTTTCAACTACTGTTAGCCAAAATCAAAAGCATTGTTAAGTAATTTAAATGAAGGCATGAAGTAATGGACCAGCAGTAGCCTAACTAACTTACTTTAACACAGAATAGCAATAAGGGATAGTGGATAAGGGATAGTGGATAAGGGATAGTGGATAAGGGATAGTGGATAAGGGATAGTGGATAAGGGATAGTGGATAAGGGATAGTGGATAAGGGATAGTGGATAAGGGATAGTTGTTCGGGCAGGCTTTGGCTTTCGTCGTCACCGGCCTTCTAGCCACTGCCGCTCCTCATCTCATCACTCCATTTGTTTTGTCTTGTTTATTACACACACCTGGTTCATAACCCCTCATCAGTACCTGTATAAGTGTTCCATCTGCCCCCTTGTCTTTGTGTGTGATTGTTTATTGTGAGGATTGTGAAGCTCAGTTGAGCTCCTTGTATTTTGTATTGCCGGGTTATTTTCCCCATGTGCCTTGTTTGTTCCAGTGCGCCTGTTTTGCGCACTGGACTGTTTTGACGCATTACTGCGTAACTCTGTATTCTGGAATAAATCCTGTTATTCTGTGATTTACCCTCCTGCGCCGGACTCCTTCAAATCACCCATCACAGAATCACACACCCGCCATGGAGTCAGCAGGAGAGGAGCACATGCCTGGAGTCGTGGCACGGGTCTGGGAGCATTCGACAATGCTAGCCAGCTTGGGAGAAGCGATGGATCGGGTTCTCCAGGTCGTCCAATGCCTGGAGAGGAGAGGACCCGATCTGTCAGGACCAGCTGGGCGACCGGATCCAGCCACCCACACCCCAGCATCCAGAGGGATCCATATATCCCGACCATGGGATTTCGACAGGACAGCTGCTTTCTGCCAGGGATTCCTCCTACAACTGGAGTTATATTATTCGAACATCAGCCCGGCTCCATCGGAGCGGGAGAAGGTGTCCACCCTAGTCTCCTGCCTCTCAGGGAAAGCCCTGGAGTGGGCCAACGCGGTCTGGAGTGAAGGAGGAGCCGCGTTGGACAACTACGGGGAGTTCGCTCGCCTCTTTCGGGCCGTCTTCGATCATCCGCCCGAAGGTAGAGAGGCAGGCGAGCGGCTGGTCCACCTGAGGCAGGGGATGGGGACCACGCAGGACTTCGCCCTGGAGCTTCAGACTCTAGCGGCTTGGTCCGTGTGGAATGAGCAGGCCCTCATTGACCACTTCCGGTGTCATGTACGAGAGGACATCCGAAGGGAGCTAGCCTGCCGGGACACCATGTTGTCCTTCAATCAACTGGTGGACATGGCCATCCGGTTGGACAACCTGCTGGCTGTTAGAGAACGTCCTGGAAGTTGCCTGCCCGTTCCACCCCCACCCAACCCGGATCACGAGCTGATGGAGCTGGGTGGAGCGGCGATCCGGGAGAGCGGAGGACGACAGCGCCAGTATCAATCTATTGGCACGAGAGGACATTCTCCTGCATGCTGCCGTCCATATTACCTGGTGGAGATGGATGGTGTATTTAAAAGGTTAATGTACTGCCAGTGTGTTGTCCTGTATTGTTTCTACAGTACACCCAGAGATAACACCTGTTTTAACACCTTCACCTGTTTTAAACACCTTCACCACCAATTAAGATATAATTCAGTGAACTTTCAGTGGTTCAACATGATATTTTCTTCTTTGATATGAGCTGTTTCTGAGAACCATGATGGAGTCAAGATCTGGTTCACTGGGGAAGATTCTTGGCTAATTTGATATGTCTGAGAATATCTCTCAATTTCTCACCACATCCTGTTTCACATCCGTTGTAAAGCCCCCTCTCTCTCTCACCTGATGGAATACACCAGGGGTGTCAAACTCATTCCACGGAGGGCTGGTTTTTGTTTTCTCCTTTCAATTAAGACTTAAACAATCAGGTGAGGGAAGTTCTTTACTAATTGCAGTGCATTCGGATAGTTTTTCTTATGAGGCTTAATAAAGCTTCATAAACCCTTTATAAGGCATATAGAATTGCATTTATGTAGAGTCATCCCACATACAGAGAGACAGGGGAAGTTTCTCTCTCTCTCTCTCTCTCTCTCTCTCTCTCTCTCTCTCTTTCTCTCTCTGTCTCTGTCTCTCTGTCTCTCTCTGTCTCTCTCTCTCTCTCTCAATTCAATTCAATTTAAGGGCTTTATTGGCATGGGAAACGTATGTTAACATTGCCAAAGCAAGTGAAGTAGATAGTAAACAAAAGTGAAATAGACAATAAATATTAACAGTAAACATTACACTCAGAATTTCCAAAAGAATAAAGACATTTCAAATGTCATATTATGTCTTTATACAGTGTTGTAACAATGTGCAAATAGTTAAAGTACAAAAGGGAAAATAAATAAACATAAATATGGGTTGTATTTACAATGGTGTTTGTTCTTCACTGGTTGCCCTTTTCTTGTGGCAACAGGTCACTCTCTCTCTCTCTCTCTCTCTCTGTGTGTGCATGCATAGAGCTCCAAATGGAGGAAGTTGCTAGTTCTGTGGCAGAGCTGCAATGTGTGTACTCATCTCCAGGGAGTGACTTGTGGGTGTTTCTGACTCTGCAGACAATATGCCATAAGGACCACAGACACCCTCTATAAAACACAGTTTGTATTTATACAGAGAATAGTGAGGGGAGATTAGCTCTGCTAACACAGTGTAGGGGACACTCACACCACCCTGGTTTCCTTCTCAGTGGATAGTTTCTATCTCATCCATCAGAAGGTAGGTCTATCGAATGCTTTTATATGCTATTGCTAAACACTGAGTTTACAAAACTCTTTCCATGACATAGGATGACGAGGTGACCAGACTGACCAGGTGAAAGCTATGATCCCTTACTGATGTCACCTGTTAAATCCACTTCAATCAGTGTAGATGAAGGGGAGGAGAACGGTTAAAGTAGGATTGTTAAGCTTTGAGACAAATTAGACATGTATTGTGTATGTGTGCCATTCAGTGGTTGAATGGGCAAGACAAAATATTACCTTTGAACGGGTTATGGTAGTAGGTGCCAGGGGCACCGGTTTGAGTGTCAAGAACTGCAACGCTGCTGTGCCTTTCACGCTCAACAGTTTCCTGTGTGTATCAAGAATGGTCCACCACCCAAAGGAGATCCAGCCAACTTGACACAACTGTGGGAAGCATTTGAGTCAACATGGGCCAGCATCCCTGTGGAACAATTTCGACACCTTGTAGAGTCCATGCCCCTACGAATTGAGGCTGTTCTGAGGGCAAAAAGGGGTGCAACTCAATATGAATAAGCTGTTCCTTTATTCAGAACTTAAGACAGCGTTCCCCAACTGGTGGCCTACGGGCCAAATTTGGCCCTCGGGTGAATTTATTTGGCCCCCCAAGTTTTTGGAGTTGTTGGACATAAAAGACTCTAAAAACACCAGCATATCAGCTCCAAGTTATTTTATTTTAATTTTGGAAATCTGTTCCAAAGTATTCCCACGCATAATAGAGTGATTGTATATACATGTAAGTAAGGTTTGAAATTATTATGTTTTAGTCAAATATTATATCTGTTTAGGCTTCTTGCGGTCAATTAGCAGTCTACAAATTATTTGTAATTATGTTCTGGCCCTCTCACCATCCACTCAAGAAAACATCCACCCATGGCTGAATCTAGTTGATGATCGCTAACTTAAGATTCTGCCACTTTTCAACCTCATATTCATTATCTCCAGCACAATAACATGTCTACATACGTGAAAACTGCGTGTTTCTATGATCTGTGGTTAAAGATAATAAGAAAGGTACTAAAAAATGCTTCTCTGTGACATCACAAGGTAGAAAACAGTAATTTTCTAAACCTGCAACAAAATCTAGTCAGAGAGAAGGTATTTACTTTCTCCCCAATGTTTCAAAATCACTGTTCTTAAAATGTTTTAGCTTCTGATGATGTCATCGGGTAGAACGTTTTTCCTTTATGTTTTTAGAAAGGTGCTGTTTTAGCTGTTTAAGGGTTGTGACAACATTTGATTTTATAATCACTCCCAGTAGATATAGACATGCACAATCAATCACTCTATTACAATAAGTAGCTACTGTGACCTACTTTACATATATAATGTCAATACCTACAATTATGGTATAGGGTGGTTGGTTGTGTACACTCTATTTTTATTTTTAGGGGGTAGATGAGCTTTAATATTGCAGATAGAATGTGGCTTACTTCAATGTAATTGTCTGCAACATTTATAATCCCCCATATATTTTTTTGTAAATATATAATATATATATATATATATATATATATATATATATATATACAGTGGGGAGAACAAGTATTTGATACACTGCCGATTTTGCAGGTTTTCCTACTTACAAAGCATGTAGAGGTCTGTAATGTTTATCATAGGTACATTTCAACTGTGAGAGACGGAATCTAAAACAAAAATCCAGAAAATCACATTGTATGAATTTTAAGTAATTAATTTGCATTTTATTGCATGGCATAAGTATTTGATACATCAGAAAAGCAGAACTTAATGTTTGGTACAGAAACCTTTGTTTGCAATTACAGAGATCATACGTTTCCTGTAGGTCTTGACCAGGTTTGCACACACTGCAGCAGGGATTTTGGCCCACTCCTCCATACAGACCTTCTCCTGATCCTTCAGGTTTCGGGGCTGTCGCTGGGCAATACAGACTTTCAGCTCCCTCCAAAGATTTTCTATTGGGTTCAGGTCTGGAGACTGGCTAGGCTACTCCAGGACCTTGAGAGGCTTCTTACGGAGCCACTCCTTAGTTGCCCTGGCTGTGTGTTTCGGGTCGTTGTCATGCTGGAAGACCCAGCCACAACCCATCTTCAATGCTCTTACTGAGGGAAGGAGGTTGTTGGCCAAGATCTCGCAATACATGGCCCCATCCATCCTCCCCTCAATACGGTGCAGTCGTTCTGTCCCCTTTGCAGAAAAGCATCCCCAAAGAATGATGTTTCCACCTCCATGCTTCACGGTTGGGATGGTGTTCTTGGGGTTGTACTCATCCTTCTTCTTCCTCCAAACACGGCGAGTGGAGTTTAGATCAAAAAGCTCTATTTTTGTCTCATCAGACCACATGACCTTCTCCCATTCCTCCTCGGGATCATCCAGATGGTCATTGGCAAACTTCAGACGGGCCTGGACATGCGCTGGCTTGAGCAAGGGGACCTTGCATGCGCTGCAGGATTTTAATCCATGATGGCGTAGTGTGTTACTAATGGTTTTCTTTGAGACTGTGGTCCCAGCTCTCTTCAGGTCATTGACCAGGTCCTGTCGTGTAGTTCTTGGCTGATCCCTCACCGTCCTCATGATCATTGATGCCCCACGAGGTGAGATCTTGCATGGAGCCCCAGACCGAGGGTGATTGACCGTCATCTTGAACTTCTTCCATTTTCTAATAATTGTGCCAACAGTTGTTGCCTTCTCACCAAGCTGCTTGCCTATTGTCCTGTAGCCCATCCCAGCCTTGTGCAGGTCTACAATTTTATCCCTGATGTCCTTACACAGCTCTCTGGTCTTGGCCATTGTGGAGAGTTTTGAATATGGAGTATGTTTGATTGAGTGTGTGGACAGGTGTCTTTTATACAGGTAACGAGTTCAAACAGGTGCAGTTAATACAGGTAATGAGTGGAGAACAGGAGGGCTTCTTAAAGAAAAACTAACAGGTCTGTGAGAGCCGGAATTCTTACTGGTTGGTAGGTGATCAAATACTTATGTCATGCAATAAAATGCAAATTAATTACTTAAAAATCATACAATTTTATTTTCTGGATTTTTGTTTTAGATTCCGTCTCTCACAGTTGAAGTGTATCTATGATACAAATTACAGACCTCTACATGCTTTGTAAGTAGGAAAACCTGCAAAATCGGCAGTGTATCAAATACTTGTTCTCCCCACTGTATATATGTGTAATATTTTCCCCTAACTCTACCATCCCTCCCCTAATTGAAGTAAACTAATGGACAACAACTCTTAGGCTTCTACTTCCAGCTTATACATACTACGTACGTTTTATGGACACAGTATATTTTACAATAGTTATCTTTTGTTTGTTTTTAGTCCCATCCTTCAGCTCCACTCAACCCCTCCCATCTATCTCTGAACAACATCCAGTTTTGATTTCTATTTGTCATATATTTTTCAACTGTGCTGTGATGTTTCACAAAAGTTCTGAACCTTTCTATTCTCATGGATTCTACATATCATAAATTAAAGATACCATTTTTGCTAAGAGTATTATTATATTATTGATCGATTGACTATGACTTTTTAAATCACCCAGAAGTGCTATTTTCAGAGTTAGCTGCAGGTAAATGTTGAAATTCTTCAGCCATTCCTGAACCTGCGACCAAAAACAAGCTACATATGGGCAGTACCAAAACAAGTGATCTAATGATTCTGTCTCTTCGCAGCAAAATCTGCAGAGCTGGGATGGTTGTATCCTCCATATACATAACATTCTATTGGTTGCAAGAATTTTGTATAATAACCATGTTCCATGGAATCGGTACATCGAAAATCTCTTCCCAACTATTTTGCAATCTATTTGGCACAGCTGTCAATTTTTTGTTCCTTAAATGAAACTGGTATACTTTTTTATTTATCACACCTTTCTTTAGCCAATTTTGGTCTTTAATGCAGGGCCGACAGACATGTTCCTTACTTTCTCCCCCTTCGACTTGCCTCTTCCATTTTTGCGGTAATGCTGCAATCAGTTGGTTGTAATTTTGATTAGAGCAGACATTTCCATATATTTTTGTTAGCTGCATGTGTGACACAACTCCACCAGTCCTATTTAAGTTATCATTTACAAAGATTATACCTTTTTTTTTTTTTTTTTTTTAAATACAGTGGGGAAAAAAAGTATTTAGTCAGCCACCAATTGTGCAAGTTCTCCCACTTAAAAATATGAGAGAGGCCTGTAATTTTCATCATAGGTACACGTCAACTATGAAAGAGAAAATGAGGAAAAAAAATCCAGAAAATCACATTGTAGGATTTTTAATGAATTTATTTGCAAATTATGGTGGAAAATAAGTATTTGGTCAATAACAAAAGTTTCTCAATACTTTGTTATATACCCTTTGTTGGCAATGACACAGGTCAAACGTTTTCTGTAAGTCTTCACAAGGTTTTCACACACTGTTGCTGGTATTTTGGCCCATTCCTCCATGCAGATCTCCTCTAGAGCAGTGATGTTTTGGGGCTGTCGCTAGGCAATACGTACTTTCAACTCCCGCCAAAGATTTTCTATGGGGTTGAGATCTGGAGACTGGCTAGGCCACTCCAGGACCTTGAAATGCTTCTTACAAAGCCACTCCTTTGTTGCCCGGGCGGTGTGTTTGGGATCATTGTCATGCTGAAAGACCCAGCCACGTTTCATCTTCAATGCCCTTGCTGATGGAAGGAGGTTTTCACTCAAAATCTCATGATACATGGCCCCATTCATTCTTTCCTTTACACGGATCAGTCGTCCTGGTCCCTTTGCAGAAAAACAGCCCCAAAGCATGATGTTTCCACCCCCATGCTTCACAGTAGGTATGGTGTTCTTTGGATGCAACTCAGCATTCTTTGTCCTCCAAACACGACGAGTTGAGTTTTTACCAAAAAATTCTATTTTGGTTTCATCTGACATTCTCCCAATCCTCTTCTGGATCATCCAAATGCACTCTAGCAAACTTCAGACGGGCCTGGACATGTACTGGCTTAAGCAGGGGGACACGTCTTGTACTGCAGGATTTGAGTCCCTGGCAGCGTAGTGTGTTACTGATGGTAGGCTTTGTTACTTTGGTCCCAGCTCTCTGCAGGTCATTCACTAGGTCCCCCCGTGTGGTTCTGTGATTTTTGCTCACCGTTCTTGTGATCATTTTGACCCCACAGGGTGAGATCTTGCGTGGAGCCCCAGATCGAGGGAGATTATCAGTGGTCTTGTATGTCTTCCATTTCCTAATAATTGCTCCCACAGTTGATTTCTTCAAACCAAGCTGCTTACCTATTGCAGATTCAGTCTTCCCAGCCTGGTGCAGGTCTACAATTTTGTTTCTGGTGTCCTTTGACAGCTCTTTGGTCTTGGCTTTAGTGGAGTTTGGAGTGTGACTGTTTGAGGTTGTGGACAGGTGTCTTTTATACTGATAACAAGTTCAAACAGGTGCCATTAATACAGGTAACGAGTGGAGGACAGAGGAGCCTCTTAAAGAAGAAGTTACAGGTCTGTGAGAGCCAGAAATCTTGCTTGTTTGTAGGTGACCAAATACTTATTTTCCACCATAATTTGCAAATAAATTCATTAAAAATCCTACAATGTGATTTTCTGGATTTTTTTTTCTCATTTTGTCTGTCATAGTTGACGTATCAATATATAGTTTTTTGGGATAAATTAGTATGTTTGAGTTTAACCACAATGTTTGTTGTAATATTTATTCTGTCTTTTCTGGTGTATTAAACTGAAAAATCCTTACAATTAACTTCGGTTAGTGGAGATGAAGGAGATTGAAACAAAAACATATGCTTAAAGTACTTTGCTTCCTCTTTCAGAATATCGTTTGGTTAGGTGACTTTTTTAAATGGTGCATTTTTCCCCATATTCCATCCAGTTAGCCTTATTTGTTAAATATATTACATGTGATCTCTTTTTATTAAGTTCCTCCATTTCTTTTAGTTTTTCCTCCATATGTGAATTGATAAGAGCGTCTGCTATGTGACTAACAACATTCTATTTCTATAAGTGTAATTTTTTTGAAATTCTTACATTTAGCAAACGCTCTTATCCAGAGCGACTTACAGTTAGTGAGTGCATACATTTTTTTTTCTTACTGGCCACCCGTGTGAAACGAAACCACAACCCTAGCGTTGCAAGCGCCATGCTCTACCAACTGAACTACACGAAAGTGTGTAATTATTTTAAGATGATCATACCATAATCATTCAGCTATTTTATTTGTAATTTTAGCATCCCTTTAGGTGTCATTTCTATTTAAAAATTGTATGATTTGATATTGAAATATAGAATTTGGCCTTTACTACTATAGCCCATAGAAACGCATTGAATAACACATTAATAAATGGCAATAAAGACAGGCAAAAATGTATCATAAGGAATAAGGGTTTGAAGTGTCTGTCCTATATCTAAGAGATAAAAGAAAGCTCAGGAAATATATATATATTTTTTACATACAGGGGTGCGTCAATAGACTCTTAAGGATGACATGTATATTCTCTATCTCACTCTCTCTCTCTTCCATTCCCCAGCTAAGATGTCGTCTCAGGTTTCCTCTAACTCTACCATGTCCGTGTCTGAGGACGACGCCCTTCCCTTCCTCTACCGCCTGGTCTTGCTGTCCATCTACAGCCTGGTCCTGGTCATCGGGACCATCGGGTTGGGCCTGATTATCCACATCCTCCAAAACAACATGAGATCAGTCATCACCATCGCTTTGCTCAACCTCACCCTGGCCCACTTATTTTTCCTGCTCACTGTTCCCTTCAGGATCTACTACTATGTGGCTGGGTACTGGGGGCTGGGGAAGCCGCTGTGTAAGGTGGTCAGCAGCATGATCCACGTGCACATGTACATGGCGTTTTTTTTCTACGTGGTCATCCTCGTCATACGACTGCTGGGATTCCGAAGCAAGAAGGACCGCTACGAGTTCTATAGGTAGTTAACCATGTTCTAGAGGTAGTTAACTTTGTTCTACACAGGTAGTTAACTGTGTCTACAGGTAGTTAACCATGTCCTAGAGGTAGTTAACTGTGTTCTACAGGTAGTTAACCATGTTCTACAGGTAGTTAACTGTGTTCTACAGGTAGTTAACTGTGTTCTACAGGTAGTTAACCATGTTCTACAGGTAGTTAACTGTGTTCTACAGGTAGTTAACCATGTTCTAGAGGTAGTTAACTTTGTTCTACACAGGTAGTTAACTGTGTTCTACAGGTAGTTAACCATGTTCTACAGGTAGTTAACCATGTTCAAGAGGTAGTTAACCATGTTCTACAGGTAGTTAACTGTGTTCTACAGGTAGTTAACCGTGTTCTACAGGTAGTTAACTGTGTTCTACAGGTAGTTAACCATGTTCTTCAGGTAGTTAACTGTGTTCTACAGGTGGTTAACCGTGTTCTACAGGTAGTTAACCATGTTCTACAGGTAGTTAACCATGTTCTACAGGTAGTTAATCATGTTCTAGAGGTAGTTATACAACGGGTGGGTCTAATCCTGGACGCTGATTGGTTAAAACTGCATTCCAGCCGGTGTCTATTCCACAAGTTACCACCGGCTAAAGCTATGACGTTGAAATGCTTATTTACTCTGTTCCATCTCACTGCGCAATCCACTGTCTCATCAGCCCAGCCAGGCAATTTATACGTTTGATCTCCACTGTAAAAAGCATCTAGACATGATCTCCCATTTCTTTTAGACTAGCAATTGGTTTTCAATAGCTGAGATTTGTAGAAAGTTTGCTGTATGTCTCTCTGACATTTGCAACATTGTTTCAATATTGAAATTCAATATCCAGCTGTCCTGTAGTCATGAACGTGTGGGGTCAGGAGTCTTGACGAGACAGACAGGCAGGGAGCTTTTCTCAGCCAGTCGAAATCATGAATCAGCATCATTTTTATGGATATATACAAAGAAATGTCAATAGAAAACAGTTAAAACTAAACGAGATGCAGCTAGTTTGCAGTCTTTCCAGCTTCAGTTTGAAATGATTGTGTTAACTGTGTTGTTGGCTAGCTCCTCTGTTGAGAGAGCACATTTTCTATGCCACGCATCATTAACTCATTGTTATGGATGTATCCTAATAAAAGTCACTAGAAAACAGCTTAAACAAATGCAAATGCAGTTACTCTGCTGTTATTCTGGCTGCACTGTTTGTGTTAGCGTAAAGTTGGCTAGCTAGCAAGCAAGGGATAAGAACATTGCCAGCCGTCATGGCAACGGAACATTTAGAACGAACGACTGGGTCGCGTCCATAGATTTATATAAAAAATACTTAACGACTGGGTCGCGTCTCTGGCAACCGAACCGATAGAATGAACGACCAGCTGGCTTGGGTAGCAACCCTAGATTTGTGCCGGGACTATATCTCGTGAAAGGATTAAATACTATGAATAAATTAATCCAAATAATGATTTTAATGCAAATGTCAATCATTATTTGAATATGTTGATAACCCGTTGTCTCGGGCCTAGCAACACCCGTGCCAATACAGTGCATTCGGAATGTATTCAGACCCCTTCACTTTTTCAGAATTTTGTTACGTTATAGCCTTATTTTAAAATGGATTAAATAAATGTTTTCCCTCATCAATCTACACACAATAGCCCATAATGACAAAGCAAAAACAGTTTTTTTTACCTTATTTACATAAGTATTCAGACCCTTTGCTATGAGACTCGAAATTGAGCTCAGGTGCATCCTGTTTCCATTGATTATCCTTAAGATGTTTCTACAACTTGATTGGAGTCCACCTGTGGTAAATTCAATTGATTGGACATGATTTGGAAAGGCACACACCTGTCTATATAAGGTCCCACAGTTGACAGTGCATGTCAGAGCAAAAACCAAGCCATGACGTCGAAGGAATTGTCCATAGAGCTCCGAGATAGGATTGTGTCGAGGCACAGATCTGGGGAAGGGTACCAAAACATTTCTGCTGCATTGAAGGTCCCCAAGAACACAGTGGCCTCCATCATTCTTAAATGGAAGAAGTTTGGAACCACCAAGACTCTTTCTAGATCTGGCCACCCAGACAAACAAAATAGCCTAATCTTCATGACTAATTTAGACATCAAACAGTGTCAAGGTTCTGGTTTAATGATTCTAAAAATGTTAGGCATAACAATGTTTATGGTAAAATGTCATCATAATGAATAAGGTTTTGAAGTGTCTATCCTATATCTAGGAGATATAAGTAAGCTCAGGAATGTTTAAAGATTTTTTGGACACATATTTAATACTTTATATTATCGTTGGCACAAAACTACCTCCATACTTCCATTCGTTTGTATTGGTTACCTTCAGACGAGTCCTGTGACACTTGTGGGGGTGGTAGAGCAAAACATAATGTTTGTGAGAGTCTCCCATTTCCATAGTTGTCATAATAGTTTGGAAGCCAAACTGTTCGGACTCTACAGTCGTGGTCAAACGTTTTGAGAATGACACAAATACTAATTTTCACAAAGTCTGCTGCCTCAGTTTTGATTATGGCAATTTGCATATACTCCAGAATGTCATGAAGAGTAATCAGATGAATTGCAATTAATTGCAAAGTCCATCTTTGCCATGAAAATGAACGTAATCCCAAAACAACATTTCCACTGCATTTCAGCCCTGCCACAAAAGGACCAGCTGCCATCATGTCAGTGATTATCTCGTTAACACAGGTGAGAGTTTTGACGAGGACAAGGCTGGAGATCACTCTGTCATGCTGATTGAGTTAGAATAACAGACTGGAAGCTTTAAAAGGAGGGTGGTGCTTGAAATCATTGTTCTTCCTCTGTTAACCATGGTTACCTGCAATGAAACACGTGCCGTCATCATTGCTTTGCACAAAAAGGGCTTCACAGGCAAGGATATTGCTGTTAGTAAGATTGTACCTAAATCAACCATTTATCGGATCATCAAGAACTTCAAGGAGAGAGGTTCAATTGTTGTGAAGAAGGCTTCAGGGTGCCCAAGAAAGTCCAGCAAGCGCCAGGACCGTCTCCTAAAGTTGATTCAGCTGCGGGATCAGGGCACCACCAGTGCAGAGCTTGCTCAGGAATGGCAGCAGGCAGATGTGAGTGCATCTGCACGCACAGTGAGGCGAAGACTTTTGGAGGATGGCCTGGTGTCAAGAAGGGCAGCGAGGAAGCCACTTCTCATATCTTAATGTAATTGTCAATAAAAGCCATTGACACTTATGTAATTATACTTCAGTATAACATAGTAACAACTGACAAAAATATCTCATAACACTGAAGCAGCGAACTTTGTGAAGACCAATACTTGTGTCATTCTCAAAACCTTTGACCACGACTGTACAGTAATTTTCATGAGAAGACCGATTTTCAGGATGTCTCATGGTCTGACAAACATTGCTGTAGCTCGGCCACCTTCCACCGCAGATGCGGAAGGGCGACATTGGCAGATGTGGTGGATTGAGACGCAGCTCATGTACAAAAACTGATATATCTAGTTTAAACTGATGGATTTTTATGGGAATAGTTTTATTATGTTACTTAAATATAGACTCTTAAGGATTATTAAATGAGTTCTACAGGTAGTTAACCGTCCGTGTTATACTGGTAGAGTGTTCTAGAAGTAGTAGAGGTTAGAGAGGTGGACCATATACCTCTCAATGTGTGTCGTGGCATAGGGAATGGGAAAGGCAAATATCAGTTTCTCACAAAATCACTGAAGTTCTCTTCTCTTCCTTGCTCTTCTTCAGGAAGTTGCATGCTTTTGTCGCCAGTGTGGCGGTGTGGGTGGTGGTCTTCGTGGTCATTTTCCCACTCCTCTATTTCAACTACGGCAAGGAAGACCACGAAGACAGCACCAACCACAACAGAAACAAGACGGCCTCCAATGTCTCCCAATGTTTCCAGTTCGGCAGCCACCTGAAAAAGCATGTTGTCGTCAAAATGCTGAACTACATCATGAGCACTGTGATCATCATCGTGGCCTGTGTGCTGACAGCACTGCAGTGTCACGTCATGATCCTTCTGACGAGGAAGTACGGGCGAGACTGCAGGTCTCACCAGGAGTTCTGGGCTCAGCTGAAGAGCCTGTGTTTTGTTCTGGTGCTGCTGGTGTGTTTCGCCCCCTATCACGTGTTCAGAATTTACTACCTGGGAAACCTGCTGCAGCTGGAGGCCCCTAACGAGGTGTTCCTCAGTCTCACGGCCCTCAGCTGTTTTGACATGTTTACCTTCCTAGGGAGGGGACACTGCTATATGTGTGACAGAGGGCGGACTGTGTGACCTCTTTTCACATGACCTAAAACCAAGAACTCAGCGCCAAATCCTCGCCGTAAGATTGCTTCCCTTTTAAACAGTACTTTATCGCCATCTACTGGTTGTTCATGTAGCTACACAACAAAGTCTACTGTAGGTCTACTGTAGTTTGACTATACAGGACTCAAATGTATTTTGCATCATATTGGAATTTAAAATAACTCGTGCCAATGACGTTTCTCTCAATATGTCGAGTTCAATCTTTGCAAAAACTTTTTGTAACGGCAAGATCTGGCTACAGATGATCTAAATATTGTAATAAATAAATAAATGGCTAAAATGTTACTGTTCTACTATTATTTTGTGAAACATTACCTCCTCCTCACCCTTTACCCCCGTCTCGACAGAATAGGCAATGCTGACCACACACGCACCTATATTATTTTCCCTCAGTTTTATGGAGGCTAGTTACTGTTTAACGTCCCCACCCTACTTTCAGTTTGTTTAGTAAATCGATCTAATGACAACCGAAGCCGGCGCCATCCAATGTGTCGCTCAATGAATTATAGGCCCATAGCTTTCCTTTCCAACCTTCCATGTGTTGTTGCAACTACTCGCCCACGACTCTCTCATTTCGTGTGGTGCCACGGGAGGACAAGTGTCAAAGCTGGTGGCTAGTATACAGGTGGTCTAGCGTCCTGTTGGATTAATGCACATCGCTGACGGACCAAGTGAAAGGTAAGCGGTCTCCTTTGAAGTAACAAAAAATTAACATATGATATTTGTTGCCTAAATCTTATATAGTTCAGTTATTACAGTTTAATAGTCTGATCAGTCACTTTGTTGCGTGTTTTAAGGTGAGACATCAGCTCATTCCATACCGTACCTTGTCGGTTCGGCAGTATTTGATACTGAAGTGCAGTTCGCGAACGATTCGTTCTTTTTGAACGACTCTTTTTACTGACTAGAGAGTCAGTCATTCGTTTTTATGAGTGACTCGTTCATTTTAGTGTTTCGTTTGACCTGTTGGCCGCAATGAATTTGTCGTGCTATGTGGGATCCTTGGGACCTCCCTACCCTAAACCCTAACCCTAACCTTCACCCCTACCCTTACCCTTACCCTAACCATAACCCTTACCTAACCCTAACCTTAACCCTTACCTTAACCATTTTAAAGATGCGCTATGCAGAAATCGCTCTGCCATTTCCTGGTTGCTACAATTCTAATAGTTAGCCTAATTTCAGTTTATGTGACAAAACAAGCAAATATAGTGTAGATAATCATTGTACCATTTAAACCGCTGTGAAATATATTTTCCATAAGCAAAAATATTGTATTTTCAGCTGTTTGAAGCTGGTGTACAAAACCTAAAGTAAAACATGCAAAAACAAAACTTAAGAATGTGAAGCATAAAAATAGCACACATAGAACATATCTGCTGCTTCTTAGACTTTAAATTTCAACTTCAATGTGGAGGGGATTAATATGCGCTCCTCCCGTGACTGCAGAGGCCTGCTCAGACCAATAACCGTCTGTCATATATGCACGCAGGCAAAATAGATCATGCTGCAGGCAGCAAAAAGAAGAAAACACATGTTTAGAACTGATAATTTATGGCATGGTGCAAGAATTCATGCAATTAATTGATCATTGAATGCTATGATGGTCACATCCAGTGGTGTAGTGGAGGGTAGACGCAGGTATACGCCATATACCCTCTTGTTTTTCAGTGGGCATTGCATATACTCACTTCTTAAAACCGACTGATACTATCCCTGTAGCTCAGTTGGTAGAGCATGGCGCTTGCAACGCCAGGGTTGTGGGTTCGTTTCCCACGGGGGCCCAGTATGAAAATGTATGCACTCACTAACTGTAAGTCGCTCTGGATAAGAGTGTCTACTAAAATGTGAAATGTATCAAAGTAGTGGTATTGGAGGTATACGCCACATCAATCAATAGGGCTGATGGAACAGATCGGAATGTTTAGCTTAAAATGTTGATGAACTATTCTTTCTTCACTTTTTAGGCGCATAAATGTATACACGCAGTAGGCCTACGCTTCAATGTTCCTAAATGCAATTTGCGGGAAAACACAGTTCTAAAATGCGCAACGCACAGGTAAACCGGTTTATGGAGAGATATGGAAATATCCGTTAGAAAGATGGGGGATTTAAAGATGTATCATGGGTTGCTAATATGATTAGGATAATGCCTTTGGCTGCTAGACAATTAACGAAAATTGAAATAAAACCAATAGAACATATATGGAACGTATATGTGTATGTCTTTAGATAATTTATTTTTAAAAAATCCTCCACGTTTCTATGGTGGGATTTTGGCTATAGGCTACTTTGAATCAAGGTAAGACATACCTCATAATATGAAGTAAAACGTCCAGGTTTCAAACAATTAAGGAACAGGAAAAATATAGCAATGCTAATGATAGGCCTAACCGTCTTCTGGTAGATGGAAAGGCTTTCCAAAAAACCTTCTCTATCAATAAACATTTACATTTTAGTCATTTAGCAGACACTCTTATCCAGAGCGACTTACAGTTAGTGCATACATTATTTTGTTTCATACCCCCTGTGGGAATCGAACCTACAACCCTGGCGTTGCAAACGCCATGCTGTATCAACTGAGCTACATCCCTGCCGGCCATTTCCTCCCCTACCCTGGAAGACGTTGGGCCAATTGCGGGCCGCCCCATGGGTCTCCCGGTCGCGGCCGGCTACAACAGAGCCTGGATTCGAACCAGGATCTCTAGTGGCACAGCTAGACCACTGCACCACTCGTGATTATTTGCACCTGTCATGATTATTTGCATCAATCCAGTGGCCATTTGTTTTGCAAACTCCATCTCATGTGCTACAGAAACACTGCAAACCAAACAACAGTGCTAGGTGCTTGCACACTTGAATTAAAGGGTAACTACACTCCAAAATCAACATTTCTTATATTTTCCCCAGACCTCAAAAGTGGTCTCCTGATGTGGTTTAAGCATTGTTATTGTTATGTTTGTTGTTTTTCTGTTTAAAAAAGTGTGACTTTGACAACAAAAACCAGATTTTTTGGGGGGAAATTCTGAAACCGGTGAATTACGAACAAATTTGACAGCTTCATTTATCTGGTTCAAGAGTAGACCTACTATTAGCCTACTGCACAGTACAGCTTGGGTTGGCCTGACTGTGAAAGACCAATATGGGATTTATCATTTTAGGTCATTCAGAGTGTATGTCACTGTTTCTCATAGAATGTTTCACACAGGGCACCTTTCCTTTGCCAGTCGGCGGCTGTTTGGAAAAATGTTGGCAAACTTAGAGCATACTCACTTCTCCAGGCACCACTACACCACTGGACACAGCTTTGTAGAATCAAAACATACACAGCATCTCTAACAAACTCTAATTCGAGAACGAATCGTTTGGGGTGTTGCAGTTTGCGAACGATATTGTCCATATCACCCTCACGGCATTCAAGCAATGCATTCCGCCAATCTAGTCCGGTTGCGGCCACAACCTATGGAAAAACCAATCTACATTTAACTATAGAATTTACACATCAGATAATGAAAACTTGGTGCAAGTAATGGGCTTTGTCGAGTTACAAGTAACATAAACACACCTCGAATGCCAAAATCGCAACGCTTGTGTTACGCAATGCCAATTATAATGTGGAAGTGGATGTCACATTCCAGCTATGGGGCTTCTATACGGCGTTAGCGTTTCCATGTTGTGATGTGCCTCTTCAATTCCAGACATTAGCTTTTCATTACAAGGAGACCACGGCCACACACTCGCCCCTGCTCCTCAACCCACAAAATTGCACCTCTATCCACACAATCACACTTGATCAAGTTTACTTTTATCAAAGCAACCAATGAGGTGCGTGTAATGCTTATTAATCCAGTGATCTAAAATACGATCATTCATGTTGAATAACATAATATTAGTTTCAATGTTTCATTTTCAATTTTCTGATCTACTCATAACATTTAAAATTAGAAACTGAGTTTCAGTTTTTCCATTTCTAATTTTTATACCATGTAAAATTGAGATTTTTATATAGTTTTTCAAATTTTCAAATTTACCTTGTTTCAAAATTTAGAAGAAATATTGGTGCGGTTAGGAAAACTGGGTGATTTCTAAACACGTGGTTCAAGTGGACGCTACTATTGAGCAGGGAGCCTTCTCATTCAAAGTGGTAAATTAATGGGGGTACTTTGGATGAGAAATCTCTCTCTCTCACACACACACACACACACACTCACAAGCTCACACACTCACACACACACACACACACACACACACACACACACACACACACACACACACACACACACACACACACACACACACACACACACACACACACACACACACACACACACACACACACACACACACACACACACACACACACACACACACACACACACACACACACCTCTACACACACACCTCTACACACACACACACACACCAAGTTTCCCACTGGCAACTTCAGACTGTAAGCATACACTCTATTAAAACGGCCATGATGTGTTATGAGCACAACCAAATGAAGAAACTCTCTTTGCACTGTCACGGACTGAGAAGAGACCTGGGACTGAGTCACACCGAATTCGCTATAACGTTCTGCTGCGTAGCCTAGGCGAACACCTTGCATAGCCTACAGTAGTTTAGAAAGTCTAACAGCTAGGCCTATATGACAAAAGGGACGTTCAGAATAGGGGGGAACAAAACAACCTGTGCGTAATGGCAATGACATTTACATTACATTTTACATTTAGCAGACGCTCTTATCCAGAGCGACTTACAGTTAGTGAATACATATTTTTTTATTTTTTTATTTTTTTTATACTGGCCCCCCATGGGAATTGAACCCACAACCCTGGCGTTGCAAACGCCATGCTCTATCAACTGAGCTACATCCCTGCCGGCCATTCCCTCCCCTACCCTGGACGACGCTGGGCCAATTGTGCGCCGCCCATGAGTCTCCCGGTCGCGGCCGGCTGCGACAGAGCCTGGATTCGAACCAGGATCTCTAGTGGCACAGATTAGCACTGCGATGCAGTGCCTTAGACCAAATCCATGGTGCTTTACTTACAGTATTTCCCCCTTATGACAACTATCCTTCTAACGACTGTAGGCTAATTGTCTTGGGATCCTGGAGAACAGGAGCTATGAGTGTGTATGTGTCCCATGTCGAGCTGCCCTCCAAATTCGCTACAACAACTCTATTTTGCAGCCCATTATAAACCCAGACTAAACCTACAGCGGCCCACTAGATTGAGAACCCATAACCTGTTGGATGACAGTAGGTTACAGTGGGTAAGTGAAAGTAAATTAGACTATATCATATTGATGATATAGGCCTATCCAACGGCTGCGGGAGGAGTGAACCAGGGATTTTAGGGAAACGTGTCTGTTGGAGAGGCAACTCAAGGACCTGCAAGCTGTATATAGGCGCTGTTTGAATTCATGGATTCGGAAAGTATTCAGACCCCTTGACCTTTTCCACTTTTTTTTACGTTACAGCCTTATTCTCAATTGGATTACATTATTTTTTTCCTCATCAATCTACACAATACTCCATAACGTCAAAGCGAAAACAGGTTTTTAGAATTGTTTTCAAATGTATTAAAAATAAAAAACAGAAATACCTTATTTACATAAGTATTCAGACCCTTTGCTATGAGACCCAAAATTGAGCTCAGGTGCATCCGCTTTCCATTGATCATCCTTGAGATGTTTCTACAACTTGATTGGAATCCACATGTGGTAAATTCAATTGATTGGACATGATTTGGAAAGGCACACAACTGTCTATATAAGGTCCCACAGTTGACAGTGCATGTCAGAGCAAAAACCAAGCCATGAGGTCGAAGGAATAGTCTGTAATGCTCCGAGACAGGATTGTGTCGAGGCACAGATCTGGGGAAGGGTACCAAAAATGTTTTGCATAATTGAAGGTCCTCAAGAACACAGTGGCCTCCATCATTCTTAAATGGAAGAAGTTTGGAACCACCAAGACTCTTCCTAGAGCTGGCCGCCCGGCCAAACTGAGCAATCGGGGGAGAAGGGCCTTGGTCAGGGAGGTGACCAGAACCCGATGGTCACTCTGACAGAGCTCTAGAGTTCCTCTGTGGAGATGGGAGAACCTTCCAGAAGGACAACCATCTCTGCAGCACTCCACCAATCAGGTCTTTATGGTAGAGTGGCCAGATGGAAGCCACTCCTCAGTAAAAGGCACATGACAGCCCGCTTGGAGTTTGCCAAAAGGCACCTAAAGACTCTCAGACCATGAGAAACAAGATTCTCTGGTCTGATGAAACCAAGATTGAACTCTTTGGCCTGAATGCCAAGCGTCACGTCTGGAGGAACCCTGGATTTTTTTCAGCGGCAGGGACTGGGAGACTAGTCAGAATCGAGGGAAAGATGAACGGCGCAAAGTACAGAGAGATCCTTGATGAAAACCTGCTCCAGAGCGCTCAGGACCTCAGACTGGGGCGAAGGCTCACCTTCCAACAGGACAATGACCCTAAGCACACAGCCAAGACAACTTAGGAGTGGCTTCGGGACAAGTCTCTGAATGTCCTTGAGTGGCCCAGCCAGAGCCCAGACTTGAACCCGATCTAACATCTCTGGAGAGACCTGAAAATAGCTGTGGAGCGACGCTCCCCATCCAACCTGACAGAGCTTGAGAAGATCTGTAGAGAGAAATGGGAGAAACTCCCCAAATACAGGTGTGCCAAGCTTGTAGCATCATACCCAAGAAGACTAGAGGCTGTAATCGCTGCCAAAGGTGCTTTAACAAAGTATAACAAGAGTAAAAGGTGTGAATACTTATGTAAACGTGATATTTCAGTTTCTTATTTTCAATACAGTTGCAAAAAAAAATAAATGTTTTTGCTTTGTCATTATGGGGTATTGTGTGTAGATTGATGAGCGGGAAAAAAAACACAATTTAACGAATTTTAGAATAAGGCTGTAACATATCAAAATGTAGAAAAAGTCAAAGGGTCTGAATACTTTCCAAACGCACTGTATATATATATATATACAGTGAGGGAAAAAAGTATTTGATCCCCTGCTGATTTTTTGCCCACTGACAAAGAAATGACCAGTCTATAATTTTAATGGTAGGTTTATTTGAACAGTGAGAGACAGAATAACAACAAAAAAATCCAGAAAAACGCATGTCAAAAATGTTATAAATTGATTTGCATTTTAATTAGGGAAATAAGTATTTGACCCCCTCTCAATCAGAAAGATTTCTGGCTCCCAGGTGTCTTTTATACAGGTAACGAGCTGAGATTAGGAGCACACTCTTAAAGGGAGTGCTCCTAATCTCAGCTTGTTACCTGTATAAAAGACACCTGTCCACAGAAGCAATCAATCAATCAGATTCCAAACTCTCCACCATGGCCAAGACCAAAGAGCTCTCCAAGAATGTATGGGACAAGATTGTAGACCTACACAAGGCTGGAATGGGCTACAAGACCATCGCCAAGCAGCTTGGTGAGAAGGTGACAACAGTTGGTGCGATTATTCGCAAATGGAAGAAACACAAAAGAACTGTCAATCTCCCTCGGCCTGGGGCTCCATGCAAGATCTCACCTCGTGGAGTTGCAATGATCATGAGAACGGTGAGGAATCAGCCCAGAACTACACGGGAGGATCTTGTCAATGATCTCAAGGCAGCTGGGACCATAGTCACCAAGAAAACAATTGGTAACACACTACGCTGCGAAGGACTGAAGTCCTGCAGCGCCCGCAAGGTCCCCCTGCTCAAGAAAGCACATATACAGGCCCGTCTGAAGTTTGCCAATGAACATCTGAATGATTCAGAGGAGAACTGGGTGAAAGTATTGTGGTCAGATGAGACCAAAATGGATCTCTTTGGCATCAACTCAACTCGCCGTGTTTGGAGAAGGAGGAATGCTGCCTATGACTCCAAGAACAACATCCCCACCGTCAAACATGGAGGTGGAAACATTATGCTTTGGGGGTGTTTTTCTGCTAAGGGGACAGGACAACTTCACCGCATCAAAGGGATGATGGACGGGGCCATGTACCATCAAATCTTGGGTGAGAACCTCCTTCCCTCAGCCAGGGCATTGAAAATGGGTCGTGGATGGATATTCCAGCATGACAATGACCCAAAACACACGGCCAAGGCAACAAAGGAGTGGCTCAAGAAGAATCACATTAAGGTCCTGGAGTGGCCTAGCCAGTCTCCAGACCTTAATCCCATAGAAAATCTGTGAAGGGAGCTGAAGGTTCGAGTTGCCAAACGTCAGCCACGAAACCTTAATGAATTGGAGAAGATCTGCAAAGAGTAGTGGGACAAAATCCCTCCTGAGATGTGTGCAAACCTGGTGGCCAACTACAAGAAACGTCTGACCTCTGTGATTGCCAATAAGGGTTTTGCCACCAAGTACTAAGTCATGTTTTGCAGAGGGGTCAAATACTTATTTCCCTCATTAAAATGCAAATCAATTTATAACATTTTTGACATGCGTTTTTCTGGATTTTGTTGTTGTTATTCTGCCTCTCACTGTTCAAATAAACCTACCATTAAAATTATAGACTGATCATTTCTTTGTCAGTGGGCAAACGTACAAAATCAGCAGGGGATAAAATACTTTTTTCCCTCACTGTATATATATATATATATATATATATATATATATATATATAAAGAAAAACCCTTGAATGAGTAGGCGTGTCCACACTTTTGACTGGTACTGTATATATTATCTCAGCAAAAAAAGAAACGTCCCTTTTTCAGGACCCTGTCTTTCAAAGATAATTATAAAAAATCCAAATAACTTCACAGATCTTCATTGTAAAGGGTTTAAACACTGTTTCCCATGCTTGTTCAATGAACCATAAACAATTAATGAACATGCACCTGTGGAATGGTCGTTAAGACACTAACAGCTTACAGACGGTAGGCAATTAAGGTCACAGTTATGAAAAATTAGGACACTAAAGAGGCCTTTCTACTGACTCTGAAAAACACCAAAAGAAAGATGCCCAGGGTCCCTGCTCATCTGCGTGAATGTGCCTTAGGCATGCTGCAAGGAGGCATGAGGACTGCAGATGTGGCCAGGGCAATACATTGCAATGTCCGTACTGTGAGACGCCTAAGACAGTGCTACAGGGAGACAGGATCATGTGTAACAACACCTGCACAGGATCGGTACATCCGAACATCACACCTGCGGTATAGGTACAGGATGGCAACAACAACTGCCCGAGTTACACCAGGAACGCACAATCCCTCCATCAGTGCTCAGATAATACTCAGCAATAGGCTGAGAGAGTCTGGACTGAGGGCTTGTAGGCCTGTTGTAAGGCAGGTCCTCACCAGACATCACCGGCAACAACGTCGCCTATGGGCACAAACCCACCGTCGCTGGACCAGACAGGATTGGCAAAAAGTGCTCTTCACTGACGAGTCGCGGTTTTGTCTCACCAGGGGTGATGGTCGGATTTGCGTTTATTGTCGAAGGAATGAGCATTACACCGAGGCCTGTACTCTGGAGCGGGATCGATTTGGAGGTGGAGGGTCCATCATGGTCTGGGGCGGTGTGTCACAACATCATCGGACTGAGCTTGTTGTCATTGCAGGCAATCTCAACGCTGTGCGTTACAGGGAAGACATCCTCCTCCCTCATGTGGTTCCCTTCCTGCAGGCTCATCCTGACATGACCCTCCAGCATGACAATACCACCAGCCATACTGCTCATTCTGTGTGTGATTTCCTTCAAGACAGGAATGTCAGTGTTCTGCCATGGCCAGCGAAGAGCCTGGATCTCAATCCCATTGAGCACATCTGGGACCTGTTGGATCGGAGTGTGAGGGCTAGGGCCATTCCCCCCAGAAATGTCCGGGAACTTGCAGGTGCCTTGGTGGAAGAGTGGGGTAACATCTCACAGCAAGAGCTGGCAAATCTGGTGCAGTCCATGAGGAGGAGATGCACTGCAGTACTTAATGCAGCTGGTGACCACACTAGATACTGACTGTTATTTTTGATTTTGACCCCACCTTTGTTCAGGGACACATTATTCAATTTCTGTTAGAATAATGGTGAAGACATCAAAACTATGAAATAACAGATATGGAATCATGTAGTAACCAAAAAAGTGTTAAACAAATCAAAATATATTTATAATTGAGATTCTTCAATTAGCCACCCTTTGCCTTGGTATTCTCTCAACCAGCTTTATGTGGTAGTCACCTGGAATGCATTTCAATTAACAAGTGTGCCTTGTTAAAAGTTAATGTGTTTGAGCCAATCAGTTGTGTTGTGACAAGGTAGATATTCAGAGTATACAGAATATAGCCTTATTTGGTAATAGACCATATTATGGCAAGAACAGCTCAAATAAGCAAAGAAAAATGACAGTCCATCATTACTTTAAGACATGAAGGTCAGTCAATACGGAACATTTCACAAACTTTAAAAATGTCTTGAAGTGCAGTCGCAAAAACCATAATGCGCTATGATGAAACTGGCTCTCATGAGGACCGCCACACGAATGGAAGACCCAGAGTTACCTCTGCTGCAGAGGATAAGTTAATTAGAGTTACCAGCCTCAGAAATTGCATCCCAAATAAATGCTTCACAGAGTTCAAGTAACAGACACATCTCAACATCAACTGTTCAGATGAGACTGTGTGAATCAGGCCTTCATGGTCGAATTGCTTTAAAGAAACCACTACTAAAGCATACCAATAAGAAGAGGAGACCTGCTTGTGCCAAGAAACATGAGCAATGGACATTAGACCGGTGGAATTTGTCCTTTGGGTTGGAGTCCAAATTTGAGATTTTTGGTTCCAACCGCTGTGTCTTTGTGAGACGCAGAGTAGGTGAACGGATGATCTCCGCATGTGTATTTCCCACTTTAAAGGATGGAGGAGGAGGTGTGTTGGTGTGGGGGTGCTTTGCTGGTGACACTGTCTGTGATTTATTTTTTAATTCAAGGCACACTTAACCAGCATTGCTACCACTGCATTCTGCAGCGATATGCCATCCCATCTGGTTTGGGCTTAGTGGGACTATCATTTGTTTTTCAACAGGACAATGACCCAACACTATTTTACCAAGAAGGAGAGTGATGGAGTGCTGCATGAGATGACCTGGCCACAATCCCCCGACCTCAACACAATTGAGATGGTTTGGGATGAGTCGGACTGCAGATTGAAGGAAAAGCAGCCAGCAAGTGCTCTGCATATGTGGGAACTCCTTCAAGACTGTTGGAAAAGCATTCCTCATGAAGCTGATTGAGAGAATGCCAAGAGTGTGCAAAGCTGTCATCAAGGCAAAGGGTGGCTATTTGAAGAATCTCAACTATAAAATATATTTTGATTTGTTTAACACTTTTTTGGTTACTACATGATTCCATATGTGTTATTTCATCGTTTTGTTGTCTTCACTATTATTCTACAATGTTCAAAATAGTAAAAATAAAGAAAAACCCTTGGAATGAGTAGGTGTGTCCAATCTTTTGACTGGTAGTGTATATATACAGTGGTGTAAAAAGTAACCAATTGTCAGACTTGAGTAAAAGTAAAGATACCTTAATAGAAAATTACTGAAGTAAAAGTGAATGTCACCCAGTAAAATACGACTTGAGTAAAAGTCTAAAAGTATTCGGTTTTAAATATACTGAAGTATCAAAGTAAATGTAATTGCTAAACTATACTTAAGTATCAAAAGTTAAAGTATATATAATTTCAAATTCCTTATGTTCAGCAAATGGAGATGGCACAATCTTTTTACATTTTACGGCTAGCAAGGGGCACACTCCAACACTCAGATATAATTTACGATGAAGCATTTGTATTTAGTGAGTCCGCCAGATCAGAGGCAGTAGAGATGACCAGGGATGTTCTCTTGATAAGTGAATGAATTGAACCATTTTCCTGTCCTGCTAAGCATTCAAAATGTAACTTGTGCTTTTGGGTGTCAGGGAAAATGTATGGAGTAAAAAGAACATTTTCTTTAGGAATGTGGTGAAGTAAAAGTAAAAGTCGTCAAAAATATTAATAGTAAAGTAAAATACAGATATTCCAAAAAACTACTTAATTAGTATTTTAAAGTATTTTTACTTAAGTACTTTACACCACTGTATGTATATATATATATATATATATATATATATATATATATATATTGATAACTTGATAAAATAGACTAGAGACAGGTGTCCCTCATTTAGGGGCAGCGCTCTCTCTCTGTCTTCTCGTGGTCCGATTCACACATGGTACTACTGATAAATAATAAACTTATTCTAATTATTAGTGTTTACATAGCCCATTTAAATCTCACCCAAAGTCTCCAGTCTTTCTAGTGTGAGAGCAAAAATGACTAGATGATGTTATAATACTGTTATTGCATCAAATTGTTGTTTTCTGCAATAGAATACGGTTCTTAGAACTCTCATGTGATAGATTTACGTTGCCTTTGGTGATAAAACCTACAGCATGCATTCCATAGAATGAGTTGGTGTTTGTGTAATGACGTACAAGGGAGAGATGGCTCGGGTATGGATAATGATGAGAGGAAGCTTGTTTTGGGGGCCAAACTCTGGTTTCTGTACAATAAGTACAGTCTTCACGGCAAATGCTATCTGGCTGGGAGATACTCCTTTCTCATATATCAAGTCTCACCTTGTGACCCATTCCATACATCTGTTATTTGTCATGTAGACTAAGAGGGTGTATCTTTGCTATAAAATATATTTGTATTCTTTGTTCGGGGCTCTCAGCCCAACAGTCAAGACTGCTGGGCAGACCAGCCTCGCTTATTACCTTATTAATACGTTTTAATAAAGTAATATCCTGATTGGTGATTGACCCTTCTAGTGAGGGTGATCAGGCCTTACCAGGAAGTCAGAACAGAGGTCAGAGGTCAGTCAGTCCTATTAAGTGAGTGTTTGTTTTCCTGTACCTCAGACATTATTTAAAGATATTTCAAACATTTCAAAAAAAATTTGTATCAGGTTTACATTGGGTTTCTAATCAAGAGAATGTATATGTGTGCACCCAAAACTCTGACAATAGAAACTTCAGAAAATTTAATTTGTTTACAGTATCCTAAAACCAAAATAAAAGCTCCCTTAACAGCTGAATCCGGGTACCTTTAACTAAGGTACTTAATGCACTTTAAGGCACTTGCCTTAGGAAGCCTTTCAAAGGGAGAGATAAAGAATCATTGATAAACATGTACAAAAAACTTGTTAGCGGACATTCCATCAGTTGTATACAGAATTATACTTCAGACACATCAGATGATACAGTGTCCCATCAAGCTGAATAGGCACCTTCCAAAGTAAACAATCCCAGAGCCCCTCTCTTGTAATCATTGTCATTTTGACCTGTTTCATTGACATACAGTTCTGTACAAACTGTCCCTAATTTCGTCACTGTGTCTCTTACAGCCTGTTTGAGTTCAGTGTGTACTGGCGGCTACCTATTGTTTATCTCTAACCCAAACAACAGATGACTTAAACACGAGAGCAGTGGACCAGGCCTTTAAGAGTGAGCAGCCTCTAACTTAATATCAGTCCTAATGCTCAATCGTCTTCAAATGACTAAGATATTGCATTATTAGAATGCTATCTGAAAGCCAATTACCATTCACTTTGTTACTTTCACTAGTCTCCATATCAAACAACATTCAACTGTTCCCTCTATTGCAAGGTTTAAAACAAAACAAACATGATAACTTTCTCCAAATTGGAAGGCATTGTTTTTATTTTAGTCTACCCTAACTCTATATATTTATTTCAAATTTCTGTTGGATATTCACTTTCTGCTTCACACTTATTAAATGTCTATTACTTTGCCGAATTTATAAAATACATCGGTCAATTCAGAAGGGGAGAGATAAACAGGTATTATAACTGGGCTAGCGCTGCCTGTCAGTCCACTCTCATTGGAATGTTCTATCATAAGATTTCTATGAGACAAAGTAGAGTTAGACCCCCAGTCCTCCCGGGGGAGTGGTTCCATTTGCCTGCTCACTCATTGGTTTAATATCTCATCATTTGGGATATCAACAACAACTCCATCAGCAGTACAATACATTGTAGCCTTAAGTTTAGTTAAAATAAAATCATGTTCAACTTCATTGGTTCTATTTATAGTTTTATTGGTTAGAGGTAAGTCAAGTCCCGTACAATGCTTTAACCTTATCATACCTCAAATGATCCAGAAAGGGACCACTCTGAACATTTCTCAAAATACTTTTTAAACCACTTACGTACGTCTACGTGTGGGTGTGCAAGTTGTATATATATATATTTTTTTTATTATTGTTAATTCATCAGATCTATAGTAACCCATTATACTCAATATTATGTTACTTTATCTCTAGTAAACCATTATACATTTGTGTTACATCACACATTCCTCCTCTACACCAGTGTTCTATTACATTTACATTTACATTTAAGTCATTTAGCAGACGCTCTTATTCAGAGTGACTTACATTGACCCTGGTTAGACATTTTCTAAATGCCACACAATAGACCTTAATGAAAACCTTAATGATGAAACTGCCACATACGTTTGGGATATTACAACAACCAAGTTACTGCAAGCAAACACTATTTTTCCCCTTAGACATCATTGCACGCACAACCAAATTGAGGAATTCCTTCATATTAACTACAGCTGTTATAACCTGATATTGAACTACTGGTAAGCACCATGACATTTCACAGCCAGTAACTCGGGTTAAGGTAGTATTTGTATTTCCTAATGGCTGAAGCTAGCTGTAAGCTAGTGGCACAGCTCAATATGTAGCCTAATTATGCATACTGGTTAGGCAAGGTAGGCTACTACTACAGAACATACTGACCAATAAAATGCAGTATTATTGTAGTTCAGTTGTTCTTTTGTGATATTGAAGGATGTGAGAATGTGTTCAATATTAACTCTCGACCTACTGGAGTAAGACCAGTGAAAGGGATTTCTTCACAGAAGACATTTCCCCTCAGGTTAGTGGTTATTTCACATTTAGAAATGGTCATTTACCTTCCCTTCAATAGATGCCTGAGGCATGTAATGGTATTCCAAAATTCCAACTGTTTGAGTCAATCCTACCCACTATTTAATTTATTGGACATCAGCCTGAACTGATTTGCTATTAGGAATATCTTACAATATAATCTCTTGATATACAGTGGGGAAAAAAAGTATTTAGTCAGCCACCAATTGTGCAAGTTCTCCCACTTAAAAAGATGAGGGAGGCCTGTAATTTTCATCATAGGTACACGTCAACTATGATAGACAAAATGAGAAAAAATATTCCAGAAAATCACATTGTAGGATTTTTAATGAATTTATTTGCAAATTATGGTGGAAAATAAGTATTTGGTCAATATCAAAAGTTTCTCAATACTTTGTTATATACCCTTTGTTGGCAATGACACAGGTCAAACGTTTTCTGTAAGTCTTCACAAGGTTTTCACACACTGTTGCTGGTATTTTGGCCCATTCCTCCATGCAGATCTCCTCTAGAGCAGTGATGTTTTGGGGCTGTCGCTGGGCAACACGGACTTTCAACTCCCTCCAAATATTTTCTATGGGGTTGAGATCTGGAGACTCCAGGACCTTGAAATGCTTCTTACGAAGCCACTCCTTCGTTGCCCGGGTGGTGTGTTTGGGATCATTGTCATGCTGAAAGACCCAGCCACGTTTCATCTTCAATGCCCTTGCTGATGGAAGGAGGTTTTCACTCAAAATCTCACGATACATGGCCCCATTCATTTTTCCTTTACACGGATCAGTCGTCCTGGTCCCTTTGCAGAAAAACAGCCCCAAAGTATGATGTTTTCACTCCCATGCTTCACAGTAGGTATGGTGTTCTTTGGATGCAACTCAGCATTCTTTGTCCTCCAAACACGACAAGTTGAGTTTTTACCAAAAAGTTCTATTTTGGTTTCATCTGACCATATGACTTTCTCCCAATCCTCTTCTGGATGCACTCTAGCAAACTTCAGACGGGCCTGGACATGTACTGGCTTAAGCAGGGGGACACGTCTAGCACTGCAGGATTTGAGTCCCTGGCGGCGTAGTGTGTTACTGATGGTAGGCTTTGTTACTTTGGTCCCAGCTCTCTGCAGGTCATTCACTAGGTCCCCCCTTGTGGTTCTGGGATTTTTGCTCACCGTTCTTGTGATCATTTTGACCCCACGGGGTGAGATCTTGCGTGGAGCCCCAGATCGAGGGAGATTATCAGTGGTCTTGTATGTCTTCCATTTCCTAATAATTGCTCCCACAGTTGATTTATTCAAATCAAGCTGCTTACCTATTGCAGATTCAGTCTTCCCAGCCTGGTGCAGGTCTACAATTTTGTTTCTGGTGTCCTTTGACAGCTCTTTGGTCTTGGCCATAGTGGAGTTTGGAGTGTGACTGTTTGAGGTTGTGGACAGGTGTCTTTTATACTGATAACAAGTTCAAACAGGTGCCATTAATACAGGTAACGAGTGGAGGACAGAGGAGCCTCTTAAAGAAGAAGTTACTGGTCTGTGAGAGCCAGAAATCTTGCTTGTTTGTAGGTGACCAAATACTTATTTTCCACCATAATTTGCAAATAAATTCATTAAAAATCCTACAATGTGATTTTCTGGGAAAAAAATTCTCATTTTGTCTGTCATATTTGACGTGTACCTATGCTGAAAATTACAGGCCTCTCTCATCTTTTTAAGTGGGAGAACTTGCACAATTGGTGGCTGACTAAATACTTTTTTACCCCACTGTAGCTAGGCATAAGGAATATTACATTTAACATTCAAAACACCACTACTAGAAAAAGTAGGCTAGTCTCTCATTCAGCTTTTTCTTTTTTAAAATAAAAACAGCACATTTCAGTCATTAAACCGTGTGATCAACTGGACAGAGTAAACACTACATTTCAATGTCTTGTTCTCTTTATAATGTCATAATTTCCTCAAAGTTCTGGTGATCAAGCCTACCAGTATTTCCATGATGTGCTCCAGCTCATTCAGGTCCCTGAAGCTCTGGTTGAGCATATTATTCATACAGGGGTTTAGATATTTACACTAGTTGTTCTATTTAACAGCATATTCGGGAATAATACTCTCTACTTTCATATGTCCATACAGAATCCCTATATAACGTTATAAATATTTAGTTATTCATGTCCACATCGCAGCAATGATCACAGCGCAGCAGGCAGCCTGAGAGGTACACGTCTTTCATATTGAGGAAATCAGTTTACGGGGGCTGTTACCCTCTCAAATATTTAAATGGCTTCTCCTGTCAGTACTCACTACCTATAGATCGAAGGGCAGTGGTGGACAGAACCGCTAGATAACGTTATAGATCGAAAAACTCAGCTCACACAGAACTGGTTGGGGTATCCATTCTTTCACGCACTCAGTAATCCTTTTTAACACAGGAGATAGTCCCCTGACAGCTTTTAATCACTCAGTAATTTATAGCTACATTTCTATCTTACTATCCATTTTTCAATCAGCTTTTTATCCATATTTCAATGTTGTTATCCAAATTTCAATCAGTTTAATATCCACATTTCAATCTTAATAGTATTAATTTCAGTGAATTTATTATCCAAATTTCAATCTTATTATCCAATTTTCTATCAGTGTCATATCTCACAATCACACAACTTTCACATCCACGTTCACTTAGTACTATTCCCAAACAAACTCTGTAATCTCCCTTATTACCCCATGTGCATCTTCAACGATTATCTTGTCGTTACTTGCTATGCACCATATGTACACTGCTATACATATAAATAACACCCCGTATTCAAAAATACCTTGTGTTATTTGTAGTGGCTGCAGACCACGTAGATATTTCTTATAAATGCCTACAGACAGCTGTCAGTGGGGCTTTCCATGGTACCATTACACCCTCGCTCTAGTCTTCTCATAAAACGCATGAATAGCCTTCTCTCTATAAGACTATGGGTACCTTTTTATGCGTTACTCGCTTTGATAAAAAAATGTATCATTATTTTTTATTCTATACAGATTCATTTAAATTGACTTACTGAAATCAGTTGCCGTCCCTCAATTGTTAGCGGATGATGTGTCTGCTCCTGGGTAGATCACAGTAAGGATTCTGGGCGGGTCTCGTCCTCTTTTGGTCAGATGGAAATTTCCCTCAAGCTTCATAAAATGCGCCGCCGGTTTTCCTCACAGACCCCCACTGGAAAGCTCCGCAGGCAGAATCAATCGTCTTATTCGTGACGCCAAATTGTTGCGGAACCAAGGAATGTTTATGACACCAAAGATAAGATGCAAGAACAACTCAAATAAGCAAAGAGAAACGACAGTCCATCATTACTTTAAGACATGAAGGTCAGTCAATCTGGAACATTTCAAGAACTTTGAAAGTTTCTTCAAGTGCAGTCGCAAAAACCATTAAGCGCTATGATGAAAATGGCTCTCATGAGGACCGCCACAGGAAAGGAAGACCCAAAGTTACCTCTGCTGCAGAGGATAAGTTCCTTTTAAATGCTTCACAGACTTCAAGTAACAGACACATCTCAACATCAACTGTTCAGAGAAGACTGCGTGAATCAGGCATTCATGGTTGAATTGCTGCTAAGAAACCACTCTAAAGGACACCAATAAGAAGAAGAGACTTGCTTGGACATTAGACCGGTGGAAATCTGTCCTTTGGTCTGATGAGTCAAAATTTGAGATCTTTGGTTCCAACCACTTTGTCTTTGTGAGACGCAGAGTAGGTGAACGGATGATCTCTGCATGTGTGGTTCCCACTGTGAAGCATGGAGGAGGAGGTGTTAAGGTGTGGGGGTGCTTTGCTGGTGACACTGTAAGTGATTTATTTAGAATTCAAAGCACACTTAACCAGCATGGCTACCACAGCATTCTGCAGCGATACGCCATCCCATCTCATTTGCGCTTAGTGGGACTATCATTAGTTTTTCAACAGGACAATGACCCAAAACACAATTCCAGGCCGTGTAAGGGCTATTTTACCAAGAAGGAGAGTGATGGAGTGCTGCATCAGATGACCTGGCTTCCACAATCACCCAACCGCAAGCCAATTGAGATGGTTTGGGATGAGTTGGACCGCAGAGTGAAGGAAAAGCAGCCAACAAGTGCTCAGCATTTGTGGGAACTCCTTCAAGACTGTTGGAAAAGCATTCCTCATGAAGCTGGTTGAGAGAATTTCAAGAGTGTGCAAAGCTGTTATCAAGGCAAAGGGTGGCTACTTTGAAGAATCTAAAATCTAAAATATATTTTGATTTGTTTAACACTTTTTTGGTTACTACATGATTCCATATGTGTTATTTCGTTGTTTTGATGTCTTCACTATTATTCTTGTCACGGTTTCGGCCGAGGCTGCTCCTCCTCCTGGTTCGGGCAGGCTTCGGCGTTCGCCGTCCCCGGAGTATTAGCTGCCACCGCTCTATGTTTCTGTGTTTGATTGCTTTTGTCTGTCTGTCACACCTGTGTCTGTTTAAGTGTGGATTATGTGTCTTATAAGTTCCTTGTTTTGCTCTATGGTAACTGTGTGTTGTTATTTTCCGTTGCCACTTTGTAGATGATGCGTGTTTGTTTTCCGTGTCATTTTTCCTTGTTTAGTGTTTTACGCGTGTGCGTAATTATCCCTCGCCACTTCGTGTTATCGAGGTCGGGGTTTGTAATCTTGCTTTTGAGACTATTAAAAGTCTTGTTGGACTAACCTCTGCTTCCTGCGCTTGACTCCTCCACCACATCCACGATGGTTTATGACAGAACAACACACCATTATGGAGTCAGCAGGATCAGCGGCGGCACCCGAATCCCTGCTGGATCGGATCAATTTCCAGGACGCCATGATCCAGCAACTCGGGACCGTCATGGACGAGGTGTCCAACGCCCTGCGCCGATTGGTGAACTCTGAGGTGGCCAAGGACCCTTACAACATTGCATCACCAACGGCCAGTCCTCCTCTCTCAGTACCGGAACCCAGTGGCATTCGGCTCTCACTCCCGAGGGCATATGACGGCTCTGCAGCCGGGTTTCAGGGATTCCTCCTGCAGGTAGAACTGTACCTTGCCACTATACACCCGGCGCCCTCGGGATACGAGAGCGTCTCCGCCCTCATCTCCTGTCTCTCCGGCAAGGCGTTGGAATGAGCCAACGCCGAATGGAGGGGAATAGACGCCGCTACGATCACCTACGCGGAGTTCTCCCGCCGCTTCAGGGCTGTCTTCGATCATCCCCCTGAGGGGAAAGCGGCGGGAGAGCGTCTATTCCACCTCCGACAGGGGAAGAGGAGCGCACAGGAGTTCGCACTGGAGTTCCGGACACTAGCGGCGGATGCGGGGTGGAATGAGAGGGCCCTCATCGACCAGTACCGATGTAGTCTACGAGAGGACGTTCGTAGGGAGCTGGCCTGCAGGGATACCAACCTGTCGTTTGACCAGTTGGTGGACATTTCCATCCGTCTGGATACCCTGCTGGCTACCCGCGGACGTCCCGAGTGGGGGTCGTCCAGTCCACCCTCTAGCACCCCCGAGCCGATTCCCATGGAGCTAGGGGGTGCTGGCGCTAGAGAGAGGAGGAGAGGGAACCCGAGGGGGGCCATCCCCTGCACCACCTGCGGTCGTGGAGGACACACTGCGGCCAGGTGCTGGGGAGGGTCTCCTGGTAGAGGTGACAACAGGCCACGCACTGGGGAGTCATTTCAGGTGAGTAGGCGCCCCACTCACCCAGAGCTCTCTGTTGGTCACATGAGTATTCCTGTGAGGTTTCCACAGGTGGCACCTCATTCCCAGCATAAGGCGCTAGTAGATTCAGGCGCAGCTGGGAACTTTATTGATCGAGCATTTTGTGCTAGGTTAGGAATTCCCCTTCGGCCGGTAGAAGTTCCATTCCCTGTCCACGCATTAGACAGCCGGCCGTTGGGGTCGGGTCTGATCAGGGATGTCACAGCACCACTGACGATGACGACGCAGGGGGGTCATGAGGAAATCATTCAGTTCTATCTGATTGACTCTCCTGCGTACCCAGTGGTGTTGGGCCTTCCCTGGTTAAGCACCCATGATCCTACCATAGCATGGCAACAGAGGGCTCTTATGGAGTGGTCTGCCCAGTGTGTAGGGAGATGTCTAGGTGTTTCCATAGGTGCGACCTCGGTAGAGAGTCCGAACCAAGGGCCCGCACTGCGCATTCCCCCCGAGTATGAGGATTTAGCACTCGTGTTTTAACAAATCGAGGGCAGCACGGCTACCTCCTCATAGACAGGGGGACTGTGCGATAAATCTCCAGACCGGAGCGGCTCTTCCCCGGAGTCATGTGTATCCCCTGTCTCAAGAGGAAACTGCGGCTATGGAGACATACATAACCGAGTCCTTGGCACAGGGATACATACGGTTCTCTACTTCCCCAGTCTCCTCGAGTTTCTTCTTTGTGAAGAAGAAGGACGGGGGATTGCGCCCGTGTATTGATTATCGTAGTCTCAATCAGATCACAGTTAAATACAGCTACCCACTTCCACTGATTGCGACGATGACGGAGTCATTACGTGGAGCGCGGTTCTTTCAGTTGGTTTACAAAGTTGGATCTCAGGAGCGCGTACAATCTGGTGCGCATTAGGGAGGGGGGATGAATGGAAGACAGCATTTAGCACCACCTCGGGTCATTACGAGTATCTCGTCATGCCATACGGTTTAATGAATGCTCCTTCAGTCTTCCAATCCTTTGTTGACGAAATTTTCCGGGACATGCATGGGCAGGGAGTAGTAGTGTACATTGACGACATCCTAGTGTACTCTGCTACTCGAGCCGAGCATGTAGCCCAGGTACGCCGAGCGTTGAGTCGAATGTTGGAGCATGACTTGTATGTCAAGGCAGAGAAATGCCTGTTCTTCCAGGAGTCCGTCTCCTTTTTGGGTTATCGGTTGTCCGCGTCTGGTGTGGAGATAGAGGTAGACCGGGTATCGGCCGTGCGTAATTGGCAAACTCCAACCACTGTAAAAGAGGTGCAGCAGTTCTTGGGTTTTGCTAATTACTACCGGAGGTTTATTCGGGGTTTTGGACAGGTTTGCAGCTCCCATTACGTCCCTGCTAAAGGGGGGTCCGGTCGCTTGCAGTGGTCGGCTGAGGCGGACAGGGCATTTGTCAAACTTAAGAACCTGTTCACCTCCCTGTGCTGGCGCATCCGGATCCCTCTTTACCATTCCAGGTTGAGGTAGACGCGTCCGAGACTGGTATTGGGGCAGTTCTATCACAACGGTCCGGCACGCCACCTAAACTCCGCCCCTGTGCGTTCTACTCCAAGAAGCTCAGCGCGGCGGAGAGTAACTATGATGTCAGGGACAGGGAGCTGTTAGCCGTAGTCCAGGCCCTAAAGGTGTGGATGGCATTGGCTTGAGGGGGCTCAATCCCTCTTTTCCCCCAGGTTTTGGGCGCTTTGGAAACCCTTTGGGGGGGGGAAAAGGGGGAAAATTTTTCCCCGGTGGGGGCCCCCTAAAAAATTTGGGGCCTCGAACCGGCCCGGGGGAGGAAAAAAATTTTCGGGCAGGGAGCTTGCCAGGGACCCCAAAGGGTTCCCCCTTCCCAGGGGGTAAACCCCCTTTTTTTTTGGGGGTCCCTTTTAACCCCCCGTTCTCCCCCTTTAAATTTTCCCTCCAGGGTAAAAACTGCCTAACCCGGGTTTTTTTTTGCAATAATTGGGTCCCCCCAGGGAAAGGAAAAAATTCCCGAGGGGAGGGGTCCCCCGACCCTTTTTCTCGGGTTTTTGGGGCCCCGGGGTTGGGAGGTGAAAAAAGGGAAAAGAAAGGGGAAATTTTTTCCACCCTTTTTCCCCCCCCCGAGGTTTCCTGGGGGGCCAAAGTTCCCCCTCTTTTTTAAAAACCCCCTTTTATTTGGGGAAATCACCCCCCCCGGAAACCGGTGGCGGGCGCAGCCCCCTGGTCGGGGGGCCCGTTAGGGGGTGTGGGGTTTTGTTTTTTTCCCGCTCGGGGGGTGGCGTGGGGCCCCCCAGGCATTTCCCCAAAACTACCCCCGCCCGTTCCCCCGCATGGACCTTGGTGGTTTCTCCCAACCCCCCCCCCCTCCCAGGGGAATCCCCTTTTTTGGGGTTTCTTTTTCCGGGGTGCATTCCAAGGGCTCCTAAAATTTTAAAAACCCTAGGCCTTTTCACCTGTTTTTGGCCACTGGGGGGGGCCCCGGGTAGGGCCTTTCCCCTTTTCTCCAGGTTTGGGGGGGGGGTTTTGGGAAAATGGGGGGCGGAAGTTCCTGGGGGCCCCCAAAGGGGGGGGAAACGGGGAACTTTTCCCAGGGAATGGGGGGTTTTTTTGCGGTTTTCCGGGACCGGGGCCCGGGGGGGTTGGGGGTTTTTCCCGGGGGGGGGGGGCCCCCCCGGGGGGCCCCCCCCTTTTTTTCCCCTTTTCCCCCCCCCCCCGGGGGTTTTTTGGGGTTTTTCCCCAAAAAAAAAAAAATTTTTAAAAAGTTGGGGTTTTTTTTTTTTTTTTTTTTTTTGGGGATTTTTGGGGGGTTTTTTTTTTTTCCCCTTTTTTTTTTTTTTTAATTTTGGAATTTTTAAAAAAATTTTGGGGGGGGGTTTTTTTTTTAAAAAAATTTTTTTTGGGGGAAAATTTTTTTGGTTTTTTAAAAAAGGTTTTTTTTAAAAAAATTTTTTTTGGAAAAAAAAAAAAAAGGGGGAAAAAGGGGGGGGGAAAAAATTTTTTTTGGGGTTTTTTTTAAATTTGGGGTAAAAAAAGGGGCCTTTAAAAAAAAATTTTGGGGTTTTTTGGGTTTTAGGGTTGGTTTTAAAGGGGGTTTTTTTTTAAAAAATTTTTTTTAAAGGGGGGGGGAAAAAATTTTTTTTTAAAAAAAAAAGGGGGGGTTTTTTGGTTTTTTAAAAAAAAATTTTTTGGGTTTGGGGGGGGTTTTTTGGGGGGGGGGGTTTTAAAAAATTTTTGGGCCCTGGGTGGGTGGCCCCAGGGGGGAGACCCAACGGGGGGGCGAAAATCCCAAAATTTCCCCCCCCTTGATGATTTTCACCAGGGCACCCCAAAAGCGCCCGGGTCCGCGTCCTCCGGGCCCGCCCCCGAGGGGGGTCGGCCGGGGCTGGTGCCGCCGTAAAGGGGGGGGGTACTTCACTTTCCCCGGCTCCTCCCCCCCTTTCCCGCTTCCGTTCGGCCCCCGGGGATATTAGCTGCCCCCGTTTTATTTTCTGTTTTTGATTGCTTTGTCTGCGTCACCCCTGGTCTGTTTGAGTGTTGATTATGTGTCTTTAAAGTTTTTTTTTGCCTTTGGGGAAATTTGTGGTTGTTATTTTCCGTTGCCACTTTGTAGATATGGTGTTTTTTTTCCGTGTCATTTTTCTTTTTTGTGTTTTACCGTGTGCGAATTATCCCCCCACTTGTTTTATCGAGGCGGGGTTTGAAATTTTTTTTTAACTTTTAAAAAGTTTGTGGACAACCCTTCTTCCCCCTTTGACTCCTCCACCACCCCACGACGGTTTATAAAATCTACAATGTAGAAAATAGTACAATAAAAAAAACCCGGGAATTAGTAGGTTTCCCAACTTTCATGGTACTGAAAAATTTTATTAAATCATGAAAAAAAAACCAACCTATCCCAAAATGGAAAAAAAGGGATTTTTAACGTTCTCCTTGTGCCTTGGGTTTGGGGGTTAAAAATATTATCAGCTGGTTTGGTTGGGGTTAGGCATAATTTTATCAGCGGGTTGGGTTGGGCAAATTTACAGTGTTTTTTGGGTTGGGTTAGGCATAATTTATCGTGTGGTTTGGTGGGGTTTTATGAATAATATTTTCATGGGGTTTTAGGTTGGGTTGGGCATATTTTATCGTGGGGTTTTTAGGTTAGGGTTAGGCATAATATTTCAGTTTGGTGTAGGTTGGGGTTTTGCATAATTTTTCATGTGGTTTAGGTTGGTTTTTGGCATAATTTTCATGGGGTTAGGGTTAGTTGGCATAATTTTAAGTGTGGTTTGGGTTGGGTTAGGCATAATATTACGGGTGTTTTTGGTTAGGATTAGGAAAAATATTATAGTGTTTAGGTTAGGGTTAGGCAAATATTAAAGTGGGGTTTGGTTGGGGTTTGGCAAATTTATCAGTGTGTTAGGTTAGGCTAATTATCAGGTGGTTTAGGTTGGGGGTTAGGAAATATTTTCAGTGTGGTTTAGGTTAGGGTTGGTGAAATTATCAGTGTGGTTTGGGTTGGGGTTGGGATAATATTATAGTGTCGTTGGGGTTGGTTTTGGGCATAAATTACCCGTGTGGTTTTAGGTTAGGTTGGGCATAATATTTCATTTTGGTTAGGTTGGGTTTTTGGGGCAAAATTTTTCAGTGTTTTTTGTTTGGGTTGGCAAAATATTACCAGTGGGTTTGGGTTTGGGTTAGGCAAATTTTATCAGTGTGGTTTAGGTTAGGATTAAGCATAATATTATCGGGGGTTTTTAGGTGGGTTAGGCATAATATTATCAGGTGGTTTGGGTTTTAGGGTTAGGCAAAAAATATCAGTGGGGTTTTGGGGGTTAGGGTTAGTCATAATTTAAGTGGGGTTTTTGGTTTGGGTTTTAGGCAAATATTTTCATTGGGGTTATTTGGGTTAGGCATAAAATTTTCATGGGGTTTTTAGGTTGGGGTTTAGGCAAAATAATCATGGGGTTAAAAGGTTGGGGTTGGCAAAATTTTATCAGTGTGGTTTGGGTTTGGGGTTTAGGCAAATATTTATCAGTGGGGTTTGGGTTTAAAAGGTTTAAAATACTATTCAGTGGGGTTTAGGTTGGGGTTGGGGCAAAATATTATATGGGGTTTGGGTTTGGGGGTTACAAAATTATCAGGGGTTTAGGTTGGGGTTTAGCAAATTTATATGGGGTTTTTAGGTTTAGGGTTTGGCAATTTTATCATGGGTTATTTTGGGGTTGGCATAATATTCATGTGGTTTGGGTTTTGGGGGGGCTAATATTTTCAGTGTTTTTGGGTTTAGGTTGGGGGTGTAAATTAGCAGTGTTGTTTGGGTTAGGTGGCTAATTTTATCAGGGGGGTTTGGGTTAGGTTTGGATAATTTCTGTGGTTAGGTTGGGGTTTAGGCATAATTTTACAGTGTGGTTTAGGTTAGGTTTGGAAATTTTATCAGTGGGTTTTTGTTTAGGGTTAGGCTAATATTATCGGGTTTGGGTAGGGTTGGCATAATTTTATCAGTGGGGTTTAGGTTAGGATTAGAAAAATTATCAGTGGGGGGTTTTGGGTTGGGGTTAGGCATATTTTATCAGTGGGGTTTAGGTGGGGTTTGGGAAAAAATTTTATCGTGGGGTTAAGGTTAGGTTATCTAATATTACAGTGGGGGTTTTGGTTAGGGTTAGGCATAATATTATCAGTGGGGTTAGGTTGGGGTTTTGGGCAAATATTTTCGGGGGTTTTTGGTTTTGGGGTTTAGGATAATTTTCAATGGGTTGGGTTTTAGGGTTGGGATAATTTAAATCTGTGGTTTAGGTTGGGGTTAGGCATAATTTTATCGTGTGGTTTGGGTTTAAAGGTTAAAAATAATATTATCAGGGGTGGTTTGGGTTGGGGGTTAGGCATATATTATCAGTGGGGTTTGGGTTAGGGGTTGGCATAATTTTCGTTTGGTTTAGGTTGGGTTAGGCATAATATTATTTTTGGGGTTTTGGGTTAGGATTGGCTAATATTATAGTGGGGTTTGGGTTGGGTTTTAGGCAAAATTTTTTTATCAGTGGGTTTTAGGTTTTGGGTTTTTTTTTGGCATAAAATTATCAGTGGGCTTATTTAGGGTTAGGCAAAAATTTTTGGGGTTGGTTTATTTTTTTTATTTTTTTTTTTTTTCCCCTTTATTTAACCGGGTAACCATTTTGAAACAGGTTCTCTTTTTAAAACTCCCGACCGGGCCAAAAAAAGAAAAATATGAAATAAAAACAACAAGAGTTAAAAGGGGGTAAAAAAACTAAAGTAAAATCCCCAAAAAATTATACTGTTGAAAAGGGTACAATTATGGAGGTAAGGGAAATAAATGGTTTAAGTGCAAAAATTTACAATAGTTTTAACACGGGGAATGCGATTTTGAAAGAGATTATGTCCCAAATAAGATTGGGGCAAAAGGCAAATAAAAAACATATGGGGAGGGTTTGTGGGGGGGCTAATTTCAGAGGGCTGTCAGGTGCAGGACGGGAAGGTGCCGACAAATGATGCTTTAAAATTTTTGGGGAGATAAGAGTTCCCCGCTTCGAGATTTTGCAATTCGTTCGATTGGGAAAGAACTGGAAGGAATGGGGGCCAAAGGGGGGTTGGTTTGGAAAGACCAGTGAATATATGCTGGAGCGCAGACTGCGGGGGGTCGCTATGGTACCATGGCTAAGATAAGGCGGGTTTGCCTGCAGTGATTTTTAAGGCCCGGGGCCGTGGGGGTTTTCGCGAAAATTAGTGAGGACACCAAAAAAAGCGTAGGCCCGGGTGGGTATTTGGGGCTTTTGGGGACAAAAAAGGATCACGGGAAACTACTCCAATTTGATAGAGGTTGGAGGGTATTTTGTAAATGACATCGCCGAAGTCAGGATCGGTAGGGTAGCATTTTACGAGGGGGATTTTGGCGCTGAGTGAAGGAGGCTTTGTTTCGAAAAAAGGAAGCCCATTCAATTAACTTTTGGGTTTGGGGATTCTTTTTGGAGTTTGGAGTTAGTTTAGTCTAACCAGACACCTAGATATTTTGTTCCCCATACTCTAGGGCAACCCTCGAAGGGTTTTCTAGTCGGGTGGGGGGGGTCTAGAGCGTTCGATTGAAAAGCAATTTTTCATTTTTTAAAAGGGTTTTTTTTTAACCTTTAGGTTTTTTTTTTAAAAGGGGAAAAAAGGGGTTTTAGATGGGCTAAAGAAAGGGTTTTTAAAGG